TGTTAAGAACAATGCAGTTACCAGGCTTGGAGCAGACCTCCTAGACTGTGTCTAACTCCTTCATCCCTAGTACGAGTGCCTCAAATTTGAATAGAATCTGGGTAGGCAGCAACGAGGGCACCACATTCAGGGCGTTGAAGCTGCCAGGCCTGAGAGCTCAGTGCTGTGCCTGGAGAAATAGCACAGATGTGGTTGATGTGCTCCTTCCCTCCCTGGCTCTCGCAAGATGCTTACAGACTTTAAAAGGTAAAGGGAGTGTGAGTCCCTGGAGGGATAGACAGGTGGATGAAAGCTGCCGTGGTACATGCATAGATGCCTTTCTAAATTAAACTCCCAAATTAAGCTCAAGTCACAGCTTTGGTGGGTGCTTTGCCACATCTGTAGAATGGAGGAGGTTGGCTATCAAAAGGGAAGCCGACACTTCGCTGCGTAATGAAATCTTGAACAAAGTCAAGCTATGTGCACTGACCCGATCTGAACAGACTTTCTAATTTTGCCTCTCTACAGCTGATCCGAGAACATACACTCACACCTCCTGTAACTGCAGTGGTCGTTAGTCATCACATCAACACCCTCGGGGCAGAATGCCCAAATTACTTAATCATCCACATAGATCTGCATTTCTGTAGGTTAGCAATTCTTAATTTTCTCGAAATAGTAGCCGGCCAGCCGTCACCACCTTTGGGTTCTTTTTATGCCCTCATCACTGATCTGGGAAGATGTTGAAACAGACTCTGGCAATTTCCTGCTTCTTTAGAGTGTGCTTACTTCTTTTGCTCTTGCTGGCAAGCTTCTGCCCCGTTTCTCCTGTCAGTGGACATTGAGCTCCGGCTGGTATCTGGAGAGCTATATTCCAACCCTGTCCTTTAGAATTTCCGTGGGCATGTGTCCATTTTCCCAGCAACTGGGTGGGTAGATAGGTCTAGGCACAGTAAAAAGAGCAGGGTATTTTATCCTCTAGGTGCTCACAGTCTGTCAACAGGTCTTTTTTTAATTAACAAAAAAAATCCTTAATAATTGATAAGTTCATGTGGTTTAAACATCCAGAGGTCAGAAGAGATCAGGTGAAACGTCTCCCAGCCAAGACACACCCTCCATGAATAGTTCTTTGTGTCTCCTGTGTCTCATGGACAAGAGATCTGTCCCTGTTGTTTGGAGGTTCTTACCAGGGCTCAGGAGAGATGGAGCATATCAGGACAGTCTAGGGAAGAATTTGCTGAGACCATGTGGCTGCTGCAGCCATTAGAAGGTGGGGTCCAGGAGGACAGATGGGTGTGGCTAATCTGAGGAAGATTCCCAGAGGGCTTGGATTTAATCCTTCCGGTTCCCAGCCACTGGTCTAGAGTGCAATATTGATGTAGAAGTGAACATGGCAGTATTAGCGTTAACTGGAGATGAAGGTCACGTTCTAGTACAGCTCCTGGGTGCCTTCGCTCACAAGAGGAGCAGCTGCCATTGTGGGGGGTGGGCGGGGTGCTTTGTGAAAGGCCAGCCAGGCATTTTAGCTGTGTAACTCGGCTTACTATTTTCAACCTCTATGAGCCTCCTTGCTTCTCATCTGTGAACCTCCTCTTCTAGGGTTTTAAACTTTTTATTCCTTGATCCCCTTGAATGGGCTAAGGAAATCTGTAGAGCTCTTGATATGCACACAGGAAAATACATAGGACTGTAAAGTAAGCGGATTAGCAGGAATATGTCTGGTTTCCCCACTTGGGCCCCGAGGCACCCTGTTGCATGGTGATTCCTACTCTGAGGAGGCCCAGAGTCAGGGTCTGGTTCCCGCTAGCCCTTCTGGGGCCTGGTGGTGTGGGCAGGAGAGGAGGTGGGAAAGAATTCCCTCTGGAGATTGCAGAGTCAGGCAAACAGTCCACTTGCCCTGACAGTGAGCCCCTTTGTCCGCTGGAGTTCTCCTCTGCTCTCTGCGGCTTTGTCCAGCGTTTGATTTCCAAAAGGTGGCAGCACTGTCCTGGGTGACCGAATCCCAGTGACCTGTGTAGGATGTGCCTGTCGGCTGGACGCTGCTGCCTGCATGCCTTGTAGCCCCTTCTACAGGCCTTTCTTCTCCAGTTTCCTAGCCTCGGTGAGGGCGTCCCTGGCCAAGCTTCTGTCCCCCTCCTGTGGCGGGGCCCTGCTGTGGGCACAGGTGCTTGGCTGACCGGCAGGCATCTTGGGGCCAAGTCCTCGTCAGCCGCAGGAGGTGATGTTCCTGTAGTGACTTTTCCCCTCCCCCTTTGGGTGTTTAGGAGGAGGTGAGGTGGGCCTTCTGGAGGGAGGTGGGCATTTTAAACAGTGGAGTCTTGGATAGTCCAGGCTGAGTTTTTCTTTCCAAGCAACGTAACATGACTTAGACAAGTCAAGTGTTTGAGTGAATTTGTTTATGTTGCCCGTGGTGCAAGGAAGTGACTCCATCCACCAGAGTCACTTCGGATCCCTCACGGTGGCCTTTGCTCCTTACCCTCCTTCAGTTCCTCAGGTATTAGAGCGGGACTTGTGGCTTTTGATGTGTGTTCATATGAGGATGTTGCCAAGTACCTGTATTGAGGGAGTCGATTTTCAAGAATCTGCTCGAAGGTGGAATTGTGTCCAGTGGCAGGAGGAATTAAAGCACTGGCTCAAATACACCCTGTGACTGGTGGAGGCGCTGATGCACATCTTCAAGGACCCAGATCCTCTCAGGAAGACCCCCACTGACACGTCCTCCTTTAACCACACTGCGAACCCACCATTGATATCTTCTGCATGTTTTCTCTCTTTCATACGCAGATGCATGCACACTCACACATTTACACATTCATTAAAGTAAAGAGGAGAAATCCATAGGTTTTATTTATCCATTCGTTCCAGAAATATTTACTGAGTCCTTGCTATGCGCTTACTAGGCACTGACATGAAAGAAGCCATAAATAAGACAGGCACAGCCCCTACTTTATATAGAGTTTAATTCTAGAGGGAGGACACAGGCAAGGAACAAATAAATGAATGTGCTAGAAAAGAACTCCAGAGAAGTGGTACCCTGAGGAGATGAGCAGTATCACTGATGTGAGGGGAGGGGACTAGGCCATGACCTTGGGGTGGGCATGCGTCTGGTGTCTAAGGCACAGGAGAAAGCTGGAAAGTGGGGCCCTTCAGGGGCCTCGTGAGTTGCCTGGGTGAGGGGTTGAAACACAATGTGGCCATTGAAGGTTTCTAAAGGAGTGAGTGATGTGAAAAGGATCTCGGACCCAATAAAGTGACCCCTAATTCCCTTCAAGTGCACATGTTGAGGCTTTGCTTTGTGGGGCCCAGTAGAGAAGGTGGCCTCAGAGGAGGTGGCTGCCACCTGTCAGTGTTTGTGTGGCATGAACTGTCTGGTTTGGCAGGTCACCGATCTAAGCCCTACAGCAGCCCTTGAGGGAGCACTGGTGTTGTCAGCTTATCCACAAGAAGACTAAGGTGCAGAGGGGATGTCATTCCATCACGACCAGTGGCTGGAGGGCAGAGCTGGGACTCAAACCACAGTGGGTAGGCTCCACGCCTCTGCTTTATCAGCCTCCCTGGAAATGGAGCTCTGGGCAGCATTTTTATTGTGATCAATATATTTTTATTTTTTAGTATGTGTGAAACATTATAATCATTTGTATCTCTTTGAACATGACTGAGATTGAACAGCCATCATTTTTTATTGCAATAAGACACAGGTAACATTTTAACCATTTTAAGTGTACAAGACAATGGCAGTAAGTATATTCTCACTATTGGACAGTTATCACCATTATCCATTTCTAGAACTTTCCGTCCTCCAAACAGAAACTCTATAGCCAGCAAACAAGAATTCTTCTTCCTCCTCCCCAGCCCGTGGTAACTTCTGATCTACTTCCTGTTGCTATAGTTTGCCTAGGCAGATACTTCATGTAAGGAGAGTCATCCAAAATTTGTCCTCTTTTTGTCTGGCTTAGTTCATTGAGCACGATGTCTTTATAGTTTGCTTGTGTTGTAGCAAGTGGCAGATCGTTCCTGTTCACAGCTGACTTCTGTCCCAGGTGTGTGCGTGGCGTGTCCTACTTATCCTTCATCTATTGATGAACATGGTTGTTCTTGTCCCAAGCAGCTTGTACATGGTAGACAGGACCTTTCCAGCAACTTAGTCCAGTTGAGTTGGAGATACTTTCTGGAGCCTAAAGAGTTGCATTTGCCCAGAATAGAGGGGTGGGGACCACCTCTATCTGGTGAGGGAGGGTGCTGAGCCTTTCAGGTAGCTGGATCTTGGACCATTAAAAAACCCGGATGATGTAATTATTCTTGTGCCTCTACCAGCTCTAATTTGTTTCTTTTCTTGTCTACTTCATAGACTCACAGGGTTGAATGAGATCTTAGTGGGTATAGCGTTATTTGCTTCTAAGTATGAAATCACCCCCTGTAGATGGAAATTCAGCTTGTTCATGAAATCTCCAGAGTAGCTGTGTGGAAATCACAAATCCCTGCTGGGTGACCTGGGCAGGACACTCCTAGCTGGCCTCAGTTTCCCCATTTGTGAAATGATGGAAACCCCTATTAAGAGAGCACAGAAAGTACCTTTTAGTTCAACTCTAGTTTTTTCTTCATTACCTGTACTTTAAGCCAATTCCTCTCTCCTCCCATTCCAGGCCCCTACACTGTAATTTCTTGGGCTGGGACTGTAATGTCCCTCGGCCTCTGATTAAGTAACGAGGTGGAGCTCCCAGGGCCTGAGGCGGGCAGACCACGGTGCTCCCACAGGTTGGTTTTCTGTTCTTCCTCTTTGACAGCCACACCATGCTCCACAGCGGCACCCCTCCCTCCCTCAGCTTCTGGCCTTACTCCAGAGGCCTGGGCTCTCTGAGGGGGTCTCTCTTTTCCAGATGAACTGCCCCTCATCACAGGAGGTACCTGATGCTGGCTGTCGCCTGTGCCCGCTCAGCCGCTGGCTGTGGAACAGGAGCAGATTCATGCTGCAGCCTTCTCCCCTGAGTCCCTGGCCACTCACAGCCATTTTTCTATTTCAGGAAAATAAATCTGAAAAATCCTGTACTGCAGCAGGTGCTGGAGAGGAGGAACGAGGTTCTGTGCATCCTGACACAGAAGATAGTGACCACACAGAAGTGTGTGATATCGGAGCATGTTCAGATCGAGGAGAAGTGTGGCGGCATGGTGGGCATCCAGACCAAGACGGTGCAGGTGTGTGCTGGGGGCAGCTGGGGTCAGGGCCACAGCAGCCTCTGGTCCCAGCCATGGAAGCCTGGTCAGGGGCCTCTTTGGGTGTTCTCATTGGTCAGAAAGCTTTGTGTAGTGAATTAACAGAAACCCAACTTGAACTGGCTTAAGAAAGAATTTATTAGCTCATGTGAGTGAAATGTTTGGGGCGACTGGCTTAGTCACAGCTGGAGCAAGGACTCAGAGAAGGGGACCTGCCTTCCCTGGGGGTGATTCTCTCTCAGATGTGCTCTCAGGTTGGTGCTGGCAGCTGTAGGTTTCCCTTGATCTGCGGCAACCCAAGGTGGGAGTGCTCTGGGGTGGCTCACCAGACTGCTCTGAACCTGCCCTTCTCTGGTACAGACCCCAGTTTAGGACAGCAGGACGCTTGGTGTGACCGTGTAGGTTTGGGCCAGGTGCATTCTACAAAGAAAATGGGTCAAATGGGCCCATTTGACAAATGCACAGATAACCCCTAAAGCCCCTCGGAGCCAGGGGCCTCAAAGGATTTTTTCGGAATTAGTGGCCTCCAATCCTTTGTGAATCGAGTTAAGGAAGTAAAGATCAGTACATGTGTCTGTCTCTAGATACATAAACAGATGCTTCTGGATTGAACCACAGGCATACCAAGCCGAGCCTGAGCTGATAAACATCAGTGGAACAGGAGGCTATCAACCCCAAACTCTTTCTCCTCCAGCTTGTCATGGTACTTGATAATCTATTCTTAGAGATTTACTTCTTGAGGCAACTTTTAGTTTTTTGCAAGAAGGCCTGGGAAAGTTGTGTTTGGAAGGAGGTGGAATTATAGTTCTGGGCTAGACTCTCCCAGGAGTGGGCAGGCCGGGACAGCAGTGATGATGGAGGTACCCAGTGGCAGATGACAGTGACAATGTTTCTACCCATAGATACCCCCTACCAGAGGCCTGGAACCACCCCCCACCCCCCGAGTCTCAGGGGGCCTGGCCATCATCACACTCTACCCAGGATCAAGTTGCTAAAGGTCTCTCACTTCCAGTTTGTGTGCAGCAGATGGATTCTTGTTTTCCTCTGCCCAGGTCATTGAGGGAAAGGTCAGATTCATAACACTGCCTGAAGGAGCGCCCTTGGGTGGCTGTCCTCTTGGTGTTTCTTGCCTGCCCTCTAATTTTTGCTTCTTCTCCCTCCAGCCTCTCCCTGGGTTTTGTTTCATAGCCCAGTGTCCCAGCCTCAGGAGTGGAAAATGACATGCAGGGGGGTTCTTGTGCTTAGCTAGGTTCTCCCAGTCTGGCTTTGCTATTGTTTAAGCTTTTCACTAGGATTTCAAAGTTGTTTTTCATAATTCTTCATGAGGGGACTTGGGAAGTTATTAACTTCTTTACTCAGACCTCATTTCACTGTGTCCCTTTTCTGGAATCTTGGTTTTGTGCCACCAGGTTGGCCATTTGTCATGAGGCTAGCAAGGATTAAGTCCTTCCTTCTGCCAGTCCTTCCTTCCCGTTGGCTCCCCAGGCACAGAGTTGCTCTTGCGTGCAGGGCCCCAGCTGGCCACGGGGGAGTGTGAGAGCACAGGGACAGGCGTGTGCTCTCACCCACAGGTGTCAGCCATGGAGGATGGAAATTTCATCAAGGACACCAATGTGGTGCTGGAGATCCCAGCTGCCACCACCATCGCCTATGGCGTCATCGAGTTGTACGTGAAGCCGGATGGCCAGTTTGGTGAGTGTGGCCCCCTGCGTGGGACTCTTAGGAGGTGGTTGAGCCAATGCCGAGAGACAGCCCCTTCTTCCCTTGAAGTGCACACTTGTAGAGGATCCCCTACCACTATGGGGATCTAGAGGCACTCACCTGGCCCAGGGCTAAATACCTGGCTCTGCAATCAGGCCCGTGAGTGCTGTGCCCTGGCGTCCGGTGGACTCAGGCAGGCTGTTGGGTCTTGCTGAGCTTTTCCCCTCTGGTCTGGGGAGGACTGAGTAAGATGGGGCATGTGAAATGCCCGGAAGATGGGTGGTTCCTGCATCACTCCACCTCAGCTCCCATAATGCTGCTGGCTCTGTCAGCTCATCACCAGTGTGCTCAAAATTGGGAGCACCTGGTCACTGCAGTGATTGAAGAAAATAATGGCTTTCACTTATTGGGTGTCTGCCGTACGTCGGTGCGCAGAGCGACCCCCCCATTTCATGTTCTTCCTCACATGTTAGGGGGAGCCCAAGGAAACGGACTGCTTGGGGACATGAGTGAGCACATGTAACATCATGAATTATTGTTGGCCTTTTGGGCTGTGGTAATGACAGTTTGAGTATGTTGATGAAAAAGGTCATCGCCTAGAGACTTACACTGAACTTTTCCTAGATCAAATGGTAATGTTTCTGCAGTTTGCTTGGAGAGGATTATGGGTGGGGTGTGAGGTGTGCGGGGCGGCGGGTAGAGGTCACGACTCGTTGTTGGAGCCGGTGGATACGTGTTTGGAGGCTCATGATACCCTTCTCTCTCCTTGTGCGCTTTCCTTAGTGAAAATGTTTTTAAAAGTGGGCCCGCTGCAGGCCGCTAGCGTGTTTTCCGCTGTCGTTGCTCTCCCCTCCCCTCCCCTCCACGTTTTCAGTCGTGCTGAGCACCTGTTGGGGTGAGTTTTCTGGGAGTCCGCCTTTTGCACTCACTACACCCGCACGAGCTGCCACACCATTTGACTACAACCAGAGGGGCTGGGAAAGCTGACTGTCCTCAGGGGCGAGGAGACAAGGGGAATGTGGAATGTGATCCAGCCGCCTCTGTCACGGATGGAGCAGCTCGGGAGTCTCAGGGGGTTTCAGGGAGGGGCAGTGCTTTGCTTGAAGGGACAAAAGGTGAAGGTGTTTTTTTAAGAAGTTGCTTTAGAGAGGGATACAGGAAATACCAGGAAGACCAAAAATCCTCTGGGCCCATGGCTCCAAATTTGTGTCGTGTGGGTGGTATTATTTTATTTTCCTGTTGGAATGATTTGTATATTAAACTGAGACGTCAAGCTGATTAAGCTGTTCCTCTAGTTTATCTTCAGTGTGGGGAAGACCACGTTACTAAGTGTGCGCCTGTGGTTCCAGCCTAGGATGCTCCCCTCCCCCCAAGTGGACCGAAGGTCTAGGTGTCATTTTTTTGAGGCCTCAGAAAGCCAGCCCCCAACACTCCCGCAGTGGAGAATGCCTAGGAGTGAAGGGAGGACCCCTGGAGGTGCAGGGCTTCCTGTTTATCAGAGGAGGTGGCACCTGCCCTGCCCAGTCCTGCCGGCAGCTCATTGGTGCTGGGGCGCCTGTTACCCCACAGCCTCCCCCCTTTTCTGGGAAGGGGTCAGAAAGACACAGCTTTGCCTGGTGAGGCTCTCCTGTTTGCATTTCAATTACCAGGCTTTTATCTTGGCTGGCTTCTGCTGCCTTTGAAAATAAACTCCTCTTTGTGCAGCTGAGAAGAGGTGCCCAGAGGGAAGCTCCAGGCCCTTTGGCTCACTCCCCTACTCTGGCCCTGGAGGGGGCCACGCTGCCCTTTCCCCAAGGCCCACTGTGGTGCCTCTGCAGCCTGGTGACCGGGCCTCGTTCCTGTGACTCATGGTGGATTTTTTTTTTTTTTGTAACGGTTCTGTTTTTACCCCATCTGTGTTTTCTATCACTCTTGCCACAGAATGTTCTGAGCTGGCTTCATAAACATAGACCCACAGGGGCTGGAAGGGCCCCCAAGAGGCTCCCAGATGTCTCCTCCCACCCTCAAGGTGGAAGTCCCGTTGACAAGGATCCGGTTTTGTCCTTTGAAACTGAGAGGTCGACTTCCTCTGAGTCCCACAGGGAGACATCTGTGCCACCTTCCTTGCCCAAGGATTCCCTCAGCACAACCCTTCCTTCGACAGAAGCTCTCCTCTTACAGCCAGTTAGATGCACTGCACAGTCTGGAGTGTGCTTAGCACCATCGGGTATGGGTGTCCTTTCAAGCATGTAGTTCCATGGGGACCCTGAATGCGACCTTGTGCTTCCTGCCCTGCTGAGTCTGCTCTTCTGGCAGCCCCCCACCCCCTACCCCCAGACTCTTTCCACCACACACTCAATTGGCTGCTTTGCTTTGAGGAATCTCCCCGTCTCTGCTCCATCCAAGCAGTATAGCTAGTGAAATCATTTAAAAATTCAATTCCCTCCCCGATTCCCTTTGGCTTGTCTCCCCTGCCTTATCTCCAGCGCCTCCCAACACAGCCCTCTGGCCAGTTAACCCACCCTTGGGGGCATCCCCACTCTCTCCTACCTGGGCCCTGGGACTGCTTCTCCTTTCTGGAGCCCGCTCTCTGCCTCTCTGCCCACCCAACTCCTACCCATCCTTTAGGAGGCTCCTTAAGACACTTTCAGTCCAGGGACCTTCTCTGGTTCTCTCTCTGCACCTGCCACTGGCTTCAGAACCTCACTGACACCCCCAGCATCACCCCGAGTTACCCATTCCCACCTGGACCAGACTGATTTCAAGACCTGGGCTGTCAGCCTATGGCTGTGACGCCTCGTACAGTGCCCGGCGTGGAAATGTGAGGAGGAGCCGGCAATGCTTTCGGGGGGCTGTGCACCTGCAGGTGCCATGGACTCCCAGAGCCCCCATTTGGCATTAACACCTGAGGTGGTGTTCCTGGTCCCCGTTCCCAGGATATGAAGCCAGTGCCTGAGAGCTACTTCCCTCGGCTCCATCTCAGTGCCCTGGTGAGAGGGCGGAGCAAGCCGGGGCACCCCGGATGCCCAGTGAGGGGGTGGCTGAGTAAGGACAGGACTGTGGCACCTCTCTCTAGTCACCAGTGACCGCAAGCAAATGAAAATGAGCGCTAATACCCACGCTTTGCGTGTCAGACAAGTGCCAGGCTCAGCTGCATTTTTACTCGTAAGTATCCTAATTATTAAATAGAAGCGTGAAAGGCCCCTCATTTGTGGGCTGACTTACTGCTTTTGCTTAGCAAGGACATGACTGTTACATTTTACCCACAACTTAGATACCCCGGCTGGTTTCTGGCTTTAACAGGGCAGTTCATGTTTCATCTCTAACTGTGCTACCTGTCTTCACCCCCACTCAATTATTTTAAAGTGATTCTTAGGCATTTTATTGTTTTGTCTACAAATATTCTGGTATCTCTGAAAAATAAAAGTAAAAAAAGATGAGTTTTGACTTCCTATAAATTCATGTAGGACATGTTCTTTTGTGTCTGATTTTTCCATTCAACACATTTATGACATTCACTATTGCAGAAGCCAGTAGTTCATTTTTAATTGCTGTGTAGTATTCTCATTAATAAAGAAAAGTTGGCTCTTTAGTGACATAACCATATAGCAAGCATTTGTGCACCTAAATATATTGTCGGTGATTCTTCAGTATTATCAGTTCAGCCATATCAAACTTTTTCTCAATTTCATACGTGGTAAGTTCTTTCATTTAGAGTTGGTTTGTCCAAATCAGGATAATGAAATACTTCCAGTGCTTGAATGACTGCTTCCTACCTGTTCTGAGGGAACCCACTAGCGAGCTTTATGTGAAGAACCCCTCTCTCTTACATTCGTAGTTTCTGGTGCACCAGCATGACGTGTAGGAAGTAGGTTTATGGGGAGGAGGGGCGGATGTGTCTCCTGTCCTGCCTGAGGTAGGTGATGCCAGGTCTAAGATATGCCAACAAGGCCAGGCTGACCCCATGCCCGGTTGTCCTTTTCTCTCACATCACAGAATTCTGTCTCCTGCAAGGGAAGCGTGGTGGCTTTGAGCAGGAGAGAAGCAGCTTTGTCTTCCTGGACCCCCTGCCCTTTCAAGAACTGGAGTTCCAGGACATGCCAGATGCCAGGCAGAGACCACTGAGTGTCTTAAAACAAGGTATTGCCGAGAGGGCGGGCGGGGGAGCTGATGACTGAGTGCTGTACCCGAGAGCGACGTGGCCGCGGGAGTGGGAGTGATGCCTGTGACTTCATGAAAACACTTGAGAACAGAGAGGACGGGCCCAAGTTGGTCCTAGTCCACTCGGGACTCATTCTGGTGCAATCTAAGGGGACCGCCAATCTCGGGTGCCATGCTGTGAAGAGAGGACCGTTCATGGGGAAGACCATTAATGGGGCCCGGGGTGGGGGATGTGAGGCATGAGTCAGGCCATTTTGTTTCTTTTTTCCATTTTCATTCTCTTTCCCTACAGAAGCCTTGCTGGCTTCTAAGAACAGCAAGTCAGCAGCAAGGAGAGAGAACCTGACTTTCGCATGTTTCATTGCATTTCAGGCTTCACTGGCGAGATAAGCAGCGCCTTGTCAGCACTGCACAAGCTCTCTTGGAGGTCTTCACCCACGTGGCTCTAGGCCGTGTGGCGCCCATCCAGGAGGACAGTGCCGTCCCCTGCCTGTAGCACTTGCGCTCTCTGCAGCATTTTGTTGTTAAAAGGGTTTTTTTGGAGGCTAGGTGGGGCAGGAGTGCAGTATATAGAAGCGGAGACGGGCAAGGAAAAGGAGAAACAGATAATCAGCTTAGGGAGAGCTAGGAGCAGCTCAGAAGATGCTCTGGCGTGAGGGTGAGGAGACTCACCTCTGGGGCTTCAGTGAGTCCCAAACCAGATGATGCTTTCGTTTCTATAGCAAAACTCACTCCATGTGGAAAAATGACCACGAAGTCCTGATTTTAAGATGAGGCTTTCCTGTCTGACGCGGGGCTGCAGGCACCGCCACTGTTTGCCCAGATCGATCAGTTGGGTGCAGTTTTCAGCTGCCACTAATTGGAGTTGATGTCTTGGGTTAAAATCGAAGCAGCTGTGAGCCCGCAGCCTGGACCTGCGCTACGGGATTTTGACAACACAGGCAGTGGAGCTGCAGCTTTCTTGCAGTTTCCTTCCCATCAATCCACCTGGTGCATTCTGGTCAGCCTGAGGCAGGCTGGGGAGGCTGGCAGTGCTAGGCAGGAAGAGGGTAGGGGGCCAGCATGGCAAAGACCTAGTTGCGCTCACCAGGCAGTTTTTGAATACATCAGTGACATGTCCCTCCCCAGAAGGGTGCCTTATATATCATCACACACACTAATATCTAAGTGTTCACACCCATATGCTTGTGTGTAACGCAGCTAACGCATAGGTGAAGCATCGCACACTAGTGGGTATTTATGTATTTGTGGACAAAAGCTTTGGTTTATAGAATCTTTTTTTTTTTTTTTAAGATTTATTTATTTATTTATACGAGCACTGGGTACAGTCAGAACCGCAGGAGGGTGAGAGAATTCACCAGAGCCAGAGCGGGGAGCAGAACAGGCAGATGGGCAGATGGACCAAAATACAGTGTTGAGGGGAGCAGCACGGGCAGCTTCGCAGCCCAGTGCTCAACTGCTGTGCCACCAGGGGAGGCCCTATAGAATCTTGTTTTTAAATCCCTGCTGGAATTCATTTATTAGCTTTTTTGAGAATTAAGGGGAGAGGCTCTAGCACCCTGCAGGGAATGGGATAACCCAGTGGGGCAGACCTGGGTGTCCTTCCTCCAGGACAGATAAAGAGACCGAGAAAGTGGAGTGAGTGTGCCCTGTGAAATTAGGGCAGCAGCTCCTCTGAAAGGCATGTGTTAAACATTAAAGGATAAAAAATCTGCAGTGTATGGGGTTGTGAAAAATAATGTTTTGGAATTTGTATGGCTTTGAAGCATTTTAAAAGTACCAATTGATGTTTAGTCATCCGCCTTGATAATTTACTTTCACAAAAATCATGCTAAAGAGGAAGAAATCTGAATGGCTTCTTCAGAAAATAATTGACTAGGCGTAATTAATGTTAGTGAGTCATCAGAGAGCGGCGGCCTGAAACAAAATGGATCTATCCTCTTCCTTTTTGGCCTTGTTCTGTCTCCGCTTCCTTCCGCCTCACCCCTTCTTGTTACAGTCTGACTGGTTATTGAAAAACATGCAGGGTGGTATTTCATTCCTACTTTATTTCCGAGTCCCATGACTGCCGGTGCAGCTGGGAGTATCTATGAAAGAATGAGGACAATTGGCTATAAAAGGCAGGAGTTGCTCCCCTTGTTCTGGGACGTGTGCAGCGGCGGTGCGACTGGGTACACTCTGCTCTTTCACAGCCACGCCGCTCCTGGAAAGGAACTTCCATCCCTTTGTGGAGCTGCCGGAGCAGCAGCAGTTGGCTTTGAGCAACATCCTCCAGGCGGTCCTGTTTGATGATGAGCTGCTTGTGGCCCTGGAACAAGTGGTGAGGCCAGAGGCACTGCTGGCAGTGTCTCTACCTGGGCTTTCTGGAGATGCGGATGGGTGACACTTCTTGGGACAGGCTTTGGGTTGGGATAAACTTGTGTTTCAGACTTCGTCACTTTAGAAGCTGAAAACTTTTCTCTAGCTCCTAGGTCCTTAGTTTTCTAACTATAGGAAGGTAGCTACAGTCATGAATTGGAGGGGATCCTAGTTTTTAGAGCTGCCCCAACAAGTAAGCTCAAACTTTATGGCTTGACACAACAGAAATTTATTCTCTTACAATTCCAGGGGCCAGAAGTCTGAAGTCAAGGTGTGTCAGCAGGGCCTGCTTCCCCCAAAGGTTCTCGGAGAGAATCCTTCCTTGCCTCCTCCAGCTCTGGTAGCTCCTGTCATGCCTTGGCTTGTGGCCGCACCGCTCCAGGCACTCTAGTCTGTCTTCATGTGACCTTCTCTGTGTCTTGTCACCTTTTCCATTTGTTCAAAGGCAATCCCCAGTGGATTTAGACCCATTCCAATCTAGGAGGATCTCATTTCAAGATCCTTACCTTAATCTGCAAGGACCTTTAAGGTCACAGTCTGAAGTTCCAGGTGGACACAGTGCAAGGGGGGATGTGGTAGAGTTCCTTTAGTCAACCTGATCTATTTTTTGAAAAGATTGAAAAACGGCCTTTGTGGTGGTGGTTTTGTTTTTTGCAGCAGGACTTTCTGGAGAGGCCGAATTCCCTAACTGGTACAAATGGTGAGGCACATACCAGGTGCTAACCCCAACCCCCAGACTTTGTGTTCTGTTTTACTGGAGGAGGTTGGGACACTGAGTTTGACTTTCACTATAGTTTGTGTCTTTTGGTTTTTCTATTAAGTGGAATTTAAACTCTGACTTTATGGCTTAATACTTTATGGCTTTCAATAATTTCTGATAGTTTATATATTTTCCCTCCTAAAACTGGAATATGCCAGAGCAGCTTAGTTACAGTGATATAACCTATAGTTCAAACTTAAGGGCTTGACACAACAGAAATTTATTCTTTCTTAGGTTCTTGGGGATGTGGTGCTGGGGGAGCGGGAGCTAGCCGCCAGGAGAACACAAATGTTTGACAAAGCCCACTTGTGCTTCCTGAAATAGCTTCTTTCAAGAGGAAAGTTCAGGCCATCACCCTGTAGAGGGGGCACCAGCTGCCCTTTCAGGTGCTAGAAAAGCTGCCCAGGAGAAGGATTCTCATGCCAAGGCTACAATGGAACCCAGCTGACTGGGAGGTGCAGAGCCGCCCCCCTGCCTGCTAGCAAACCTGTTGTAGCTGGAGGGCGCCGCCCGGCACCATTGGCTGGGGCAGTGGGGCTTGAGTGCCAAATTTAAAGCCTGGGGATGATGCCTTATGCCCCCTTCTCAGTTCAGTGTAAGCACTTGGTTCCCAGTCCTGGGTAAACAAGACAGACCCTGCTGTGGCTCTGAAGATTCAACCCAGTAGTTCCTGGGGGGCCACCTGCCTCCTTTGTACAAGACCAGTGCCTGGGGGGCAAGGCTCAGTTTACTGTTTCTCTAGGAGGAAATCTAACCTTGTAGATCAGCAATTTCAAGACACAGGAAAGAATGCAGGGGCTCCTTTTACCCGGTAGACAGTGAAGGGCGAGGGTTCGTGTGTGTCATGGGGTGGTGACTGGGTCCGGTGCTGCCTGGCTCTAGCTTCACCAGGCGTTTTCTCTTCCCTTTGCAGTGCGATGACGTGGTCTTTGGCCTGTCACCCCCACTGGAGATGCTGAGGGAACTGAAGTCCCCACAGCAGCAGGACCTCACGGCCTTCCTGCGGCTGGTGGGGTACAAGGTGCAGGGCAAGTGTCTCGGGCCGGAGGATGTGGTCAGCAACCAGAAGCTCTTCTCTATCGCCTACTTCTTGGTCAGTGCACTAGCAGGTATGGAAAAAAAGAAATGCTGTTGTTGCTTTGAAGTAATTTCACCTACTGTAATTCTTCTGGGGCTGTGGAAAGGACAGTAACTGGGGAGGATTTAGTACTTACTATGGTTCCCTCCCTTTCAGCAGTACAGGGAGGGTAAGTGGAAGGCCAAGGAAGTTTACATGAAGTGTCACGAGCATGAAGGAGGCCTTGCTGTTGCCTGCCAGACGTCTCCATCATCTTGAGCACGTCTGTTTTCCTCCCCCAGGGAGGACTGTCCCTCTCACCCACACAGGAGAGCATCTCCCGAAGAGTCTCTGACTCACACAGGAGCCCTTGGCAGCTGCGTGGCAGCAGATCTCTACCCTGCCTGTAGTCCTTCTGGTCCTATTGTTCCCTCCAATGACTAGTGTATGATTTTTTACTACTTTTGCTTTTTAAAGAACTGAGGTAACATTAGTTTAGGTTCCTACCTCTTCAGATGTATGTCACCCCACCGCAATGCATCCATCATCTTTCTCCACAGACCACTGGGTCACCTCCAAACTTTGTTCCTCAGCACCCTTCATCCCTCTGGCAGCCTCAACTCCGCGCTGTTTCTGGGGTCTCTCTCTATGGTGGTGAATGGTTTTAGAACTGCCTCTTGATTCATACCTCAGGTCTCTCTCCATTCACCTGGACACTTAGTAGAGCACTCTCTTCCATGCCACTGATTCGATCCTCCATTGCTTTCTCTAGAGTCCTTGATCCTATTTATACAGGTCTGTACAACCTGAAATTACTTTTAGGCTTCAATTCCTATCTTCTGATCACTGATTTTTCATTTTTCTGATTTTTGTTCTTTGATTAACTTTTCTGATTTTCCCTTTAGCTGAGTTTTTTTCATTAGAGAAGTTCTTAACACTGTATTGTGTGTGTGTCACATGTGTTTGGGAAGTTGATCTCACTGTGCCTGTCATGCTCTTTTGAGCAGCAACTTCGGGGCTGCATTTGCTCTGACCTGGTAGACGAGCTGGGGTGGTGCTGACTAGCACTTGTGGCACCACCAAAACACCCCTGCTTGCCGGTCTTTGGGAGGAGAGTCTAGGCAGGCCATGTGCTCTCACCATCAGTGCTAAGCGCAGGAGTGACTGCTCTGCTCTTTACCGGGGAGCAGCCTGTGTAGGACACCCCAGTTCCTCTGCAAGGCTTCCCCTGGTTCAAGGGTGTGCGCTGCACAGCCTCTGCTCCTGGAGAACAGGTTGCCTGCACCACCTCCTGTTCCATGAAGCATGCATCTGTTCGGGGTCACACGAGTTGAAGTCTGCACTTGTCTCTGCTGTCCGGAAGTGGAGTCCCACTCCTAACCGCCAGGTGTGGCTGAGTGCAGGGTCCTCCTGGTGCCCTGCTCCAAGAACAGCAGCTACTGGGGACCAGGGCTTGCTGTGTCTACACCTCTTGCCAGGGTTCACCACATCTGGGATCCCTGCCCTGCCTCCCCCCTTTCAGATGTTCCTATTGTTTATTGACTTTGTGCTAAAATCTAGCTGGATTACATGGAGCAGGCGAGCCTGGTGTCTTCACTGTTCTGCCTTTAATTTTCATACTGACTTCAGAAGTGATCAGTCCACCACCATGACACTATATTCACCTTTACCAGTGAGATTAGCACTTCCATATATTCTGTTTTCTAACTAGTGCCCTTTTCAATTTAAAGAAGTCCCTCTAACATTCTTATTTGGCCATTTTAGCAGTGATGAATCCTTTTACCTTGTCCAGAAATCTTTATCCTTCAACTTTGATGGCAGGTTATTTTTCTTTTAAGCACTCTCTGTCTTGCACACTCCTTTTGTATGTAACCAGTTTGATTCTTTCCTTGTTTTTAACATTTTAATTATAATCACACATCACTTAATGGCAGAGAAATGTGTCACTAAAATGATCAGCCTATTGGGAGCCACCATTATATCTGTGGTCTATTATTGATCTAAGGTGAACACAGAACTGGTTACATTTGTTTTCAAAAAGGCCACTGTTGCCTATTTAGCACCTCTCATTGGATAACTACTGAGTACATGCTTTGCCCAGCTGATGGGAGAGCACTGAAGTACAATTAGGTAAAATTCAGGGGCTGGGTCTGGAGCTTTTATTTTTTCTTTGACATTGATTTTTGTCTCTTACAGAAATGCCTGATAATGCAGCAGCTCTTTTGGGTACTTGCTGTAAACTCGAGATTGTTCCTACACTGTGTTACTTGGTAAGTACCTGGGAAAATGAGGAAGAGATGGGTATCTTAGCAGCTAATAAAACTTCTAGGGTTTCTCATCCACAACAGCTCTTACAATAGGTTAAAAAAGGTATTTTAACTCTAGTTTTTGCACACTACAGACCTGGAGACTTGAGGCACAGAGGCAAAGGACTTGTCTTTTACTCCAACCCTCATGCTTTTCCTATTAGAAGAGGCTTTGGGCCAAGGCTTGCTGGCACTGTAGGGAGGGGTCCTGGTGCCCTGTTATTGGCTATGGTATTTCTGTGCTCTGACCAGTTGGTTCAGCTTTGCATTGGCCTCACTAGGAGGTATTCCAGGTCTGTTTTGTCTCAGGGAGCCACAGCTTCTTTCATTCTGTTTTAGAAATAAAACTGCTTTGTGCCCTCAGGAAATATCATAAAGAGTTACATATCCATGAGGCTAGCCCTAGAGATCAAGGTTAAGCTTTTGCTTTTTACATCACAAACTGGGTCATTAAAAGAAGGAGCCATCAATAGGCTGCCCCAAATTGCTCTAATAGGGCAGTTCCTATGATGTTGCTTCTGCAGGTGTTGCTCAGCCTTGGGCAGAACAGAGCTACTATATTTTAAAATCTGATTACTAATGGCCAAGTCCAGCATATGAAGTAGGCCCGAAGCTCAGAGATCTGTCCCCAGGTTTGAGAGGACTGCCAAGTTAGGACCCTGAAATTTGTTATACATCAACTCTGGAAACTTGGGCTAGTGCTTTTGGTACATCTCTGCACAGCAGAGACAACTACAGTCTAACCAAGGAACTTAGATTTTGTTCACGATAGAAAGCAGATTTTACCTATCCAGAGGAATGCTGTGTTATATTGTGATCATAAAAACTGAACTACTTACAAATGTGCCAGCATGTATATCCTGTAGTCAGCTGACAGTAAAGGCTGGTGGCAGTTTCGCTATAGAAACAATCTGTCTAATTGCCTAATTGTATGCTGTGATGAGCAAGAAAGCAATTCTGCCCAGTTCCCTTTTGTAGCAACTTTGTGCCTACCCATTGTTAAGTATTTACAAAGTCATCAACTGTATTCAGAATGTATATAAAAAAATACTGCTTGACCACTTTAGCCTCCCCTCCCAACAAACTGACTCTTAAATGTCATCTTTCTTGCTGATCAACTCTAGGCTTTGATTTTTTTTTTTTTCTTTGTGGGACCCTCGCCGGTGGCTGGGGATCGAACTGGCACTGCAGAGGCTGCAGGCAGCCTCGCAGCCCAGCGCTCAACCACTGCGCCACCAAGGGAGGCCCTCTAGGCTTTGATTTATGCTGCTTCCATGTTCTGTTGGTGTTCTAAAAGTAGACACTAGGACACAAGCTCCAGAATGGTATTCATTCTGCTTTGGCAAAAAACAACCCACTATAGAAGACAAATAAGTTTTCTTTAACTTTCTGGGTACTTTCGTATAATCTCCCCGAGACATAGCAACAACTCTTCTTCAAACAATGAGACTCCTGAGGGAATCAGGTGTTTCTTAAAGGGATTTACTGAGAATCACCTACAAACTCACCAGTGTTCCTACTTTTTTTTTTTTTTCCTTGTCTAGGGGCCAAGGTAACTTGAGAGGCTTTCTGGGCAGTTTCAGATTTACTAATCTGGTAGATTTTAGTGTAAGGATTGATTAGAAGGTGCGAAACAATAGATAATATTAATTTTGCCCACTACCTTTGGGTGACACTAATTTCCATATACCAAGAAGTGCCTGTGGGCAGCTGGAGTTGGCAGGTGTTTAGTACTTACGCACCAGACACAGGAAATCACCCACTGTGCTTTTGCCAGTCTTCAGCCTGCACCAGGGGAACAGTTTTAAATCAATGGCATGTGGTGCCTGTCTTCTAAAGCATAATCCGTATTTTGGGTCAAATGGGTAAGGCTGTAGTTACATAGTGTGGCTTATATTTGTAAAACCAATTTTGATGTAGACACACAAGTACTTTTATATTCAAATGAGTGCTACGCTTCAGATACCAGGGCTAACTGTATATGGTACTTTCAGTAAAGTTACCATTTCTCAGCATATTTCTAGAATTCTTTAGGATTCCATTTAGAGTACTTATTTGAAAATCAGAGCTACTAGAAAACCTACTGAAGATTAAAAAGTATCAGAGTGACTGATCAAGACCCTAAAAGTTCTTTGAAATGTACATACAAAGATGCTTCAGATTCACAGAACCCATCACATCCATTTATGATAAAACTCAACAAAATGAAGTGATGTTTTCCCAACATAGTAAAGGCCATATACGACAAGCCTATAGCTAACATCACACATCGAAAAGCTTTTCGAACAAAACAAGCTCTTGCCACATTTATTAAATATAGTATTGGAAGTCACAGCCAGAACAGTTAGGTAATTGTTCCATCCCTATGGGCGGGAACAAGTAAAACTGTCACTGATTGTGGACATGATTTTATATAGAAAATGAGACTCTACGAAAAGACCTGTAGCACTAATGAATCAGTGAAGTCTCAGGTGAGGATGTCAACATACACACTCAACCATCAGAATGAGAAATTAAGAAAATAATCCCGTTTATACCAAACTACAAAACAAATGAAAGAAATTGTACAACTGAAAAGATACTCTGTTCTTATGGACAGAAAAAAATAATTGTTAAAATACCCCTAATGCCCTAAAAGCAATCTATAGATACAATGCAGTCCCTCTCAAAATTCACACTTTTCACAGAAATAGAACAAACATTCCTAAAATTATACAGATTAGGAACCACAAAAGGCCCCAAATAGCCAAGGCAATCTTGAAAAAGAACAAAGCTGAAAGCATCACACTCCCTGACTTCAAACTCCATTACAAAGCAATATAGTCTTGGCTCAAAATCACAAAGTGAAACAGAGAGCCCAGAAATAAACTCACATGCATATAATAAGTTAATATGCAACAGTAGAACAGAGACTAAACCCAATGGGGAAAAGACAATCTCTTCAAAAAATACTGTTAGAAAAAGATGAAAATGGATCTCTGTCTTCCACCACAAACAAAAATGGATTAAAGATTTGAATCTAAGGACTGAAACCATCAAACTCCTAGAAAACATTGATGATAAAGTCACTGACGCTGATCTTGTGAATTTTTAGGTAACTCCTAAAGGAAAGGAAAGCAAAGTAGGCTGCCTAAAGGAAAGAAAAGCAAAGTAGGAAAGCAAAGTTTCTGCATAGCATCAACAAAAATAATAATGAAACTGACTGAACAGGAAAAAGTATTTACACATTGAGTAAGTGGTTAATATTCAATACATACAGAAAAATCCACATAACCAAGTAACAAAAAACCTGATTAAGAAATGAGCATAGAATCAAATACACATTTTTGCAAAGACATACAGCTAAGGCATATGCAAAGATGTTTAGATCTCCAATCATCAGGAAAATGCTAATCAAAACCACAATGGGATGGCACTCTACACTTGTCAGAATGGCTATCATCAAAAAGATAACATTGGTGACAATATGGGTAAAAGGGAATGCTCATATTGGTGTGAATGTAAACTGATGCAGTCCCTATAGAAAATAAGGAGGTTCTTCAAAAATCCAAAATAGAACAACCATCTGGTACATACCATTTCTGAGTATTAAACTGAAGAAAATGAAAACACTAATTCACAAGGACATATGAAGCCCTATGTTCATGATAGCATTAATCACAGTAGCCAAGCTATGGGGGCAATCAAAGTGTGCATTAATGAAAGACACGTTAAGGAAGATACGGTGTGTGCGCACACACATGCATACACGAATACTACTCAGGCATAAAAAAGAATAAAAGTTTGTCATTTGGGACAACATGAATTGATTGAACTTGAAGGTATTATAATAGGTGAAATTAGGGAAAGATAATACTGTATGATTTCACTTATACGTGGAATCAAAAGAACATAATAAAACCAAATTCAGAACAGAATGGTGTTTGCCAGAGGTAAAGGGGGGCAGATGTCATGGTGATTATAATCAGTAATAATGCATTACATATATGAAAGTTGCCAAGAGTAAACCTTAAAGAGTCTCATCACAAGAAAATACATCTAACTTTATATGGTGATGGATAGCTGGAATTATTGTGATCACTTTGCATTGTACACAAATTATGATGATGTACAGCTGAAACTGTTATGTCAATTTAACCTTAATTACAAATACTTTAAGGCCGTAAAAGCAAAATTCAAATGTTCTGAGTAGTTGTAATTAGAGCAGCCTCCAAAGTGAACTAACATTGAGTACACTGAGGGTCAGTATTCCAGGCAGCGTAAGTGGTGAGCACAGCAGACCTGTTCCCTGTTCACCTGGCACCTTGTTTAGCAAACAGACTAAACTGAATATTGAAAAGATGGCTTCAGGAAGAGTAAGTACATTAAGACCACATAATAGCGTAATGATGCCTGGCTACGAGGGCAGGGAATAGTCATTAGAGAGGGCTTGGTAGAGGCCCTTCTGATGAGGCAGTGCTACCAAAAGGTGAGAGGGCAAGGGCTGTACACAAATCATCAGGGACAGTCTGCCAGCCAGAGAGTAGCAAGGGCAAAGGTTCTCGAAGCAGAAAGCACAACTCGCCAAAGTATGCTACCTGCCTTTGAGGGGTTCATGCAAATATGTAAGAAATTCTAATAACTTCATTAAAAAAAAACAAAACCTTGCATACTGTGTGCATGAGAAATTACATTGTGACCTTTCTAATCTTCTAGAGTTAATGGACATAGTACAAGGTCAAATTCAGAATTGGGAATTCAGACAGAGGACACCAGGAACTGGAAAGAGATCCAGCCTCATATCTTGGTCTGGGTCAAATAGACCTTGTTCTATATCTTAAGGGTTTTCTTGTTCCACCTGGGGAATTAAAAAGCAACAACTTAATTTGGTTCTCCCAAGTTACCTTGACGTGCATTACTATCCAACTGTGTGGGTTTTCTGTAACATTTTAAAGTGAACTTGTTGACATGTCATTTCAGCTCCATGCTCTATCTGATGATGGAGTAGCTGATCTTGAAGACCCAGCCTTGGCTCCTCTGAAAGATACAGAAAGATTTGGGATCGTACAACGTTTGTTCACTTCTGCTGACATTAGCCTGGAGAGGCTGCAGTCTTCCGTGAAAGCTGTGGTCCAGAAGGAGCCTCACATTTTCCCACTAATTCTTTATATAAGCCTGAATGGACTCTGTGCCTTGGACAGAGCACATTAATAACATAAATTATAAGTACATGCAATCAGCCATGGCTGGACATTTTTTGCCATCAAGATACTACTATGGGGCTTAGGTCAAATCTATGCTAAAAGCTGGTCAATGAAATGAATTTACAAAACCGTTCAAGAAGTGGTGACTTTTTGCACTATCAGTTACCTTGTGTAGCCGCTAGCACTAAACAGCAATAGTAACCTGTTTGTTTTGAGCTGATAAACAGTATCCTTTTCTGAAGAGACCCTCCTGTGCTGGTGACCTGGTGTCAAAGTTAGATGCCAGCATCCAAAGAACCAAAGGAGACCCGAGAAGTCCAGGCTAGTGCATGTTCAGACCTTTTCTCCTTCTGCTACAAAAATGGGCCTATTCATCACTTTCTTGTATTTCTCACTTTGTTATACAAAAACCAGGTGAGTTTGGCACTTTGATCCAAAAATTCGTTTTAAATTGTGAATGTTGTGGGAAGGTGATTTCTTTTCACAGAGGGCTATGTTTTAGATGTGCTGTATGCTATGCAGAGACTGAAAAATGAACTGTAAATGCCAAGAGAGTACATTCTTTTGCTGAAAAAATTATACTAAAAAAGTCTAAAAGCAGGAGACCCTTGCTTGGGAGGGGAAAGAGGGACGTTCTAGCTTTGTAGATCTTGACTTGTCATGCTTTGATGAACCTACTGATTTGATGTCTAGAACAATGTGCTGAATTCTCATGTATTCTGGATGTTTAATTTGTAAATACTACATATTGTATCAAAGGAAAACTTATACCATGTATATTTTGCTTTTTATCCTATTTTGACATCCTGCTATTAGAAACAGCCTAGACAGTCTCCCCCGAGCCTCTGCTAATATCCACTGGGGACCTGGAGCCACTGCTGCTCCCCTTAGCAAAAAGCAGTTGAGACCTATTGCTCCAATTTGTCTTATGTTAGGAGCAGGGAGGCAGAAGGAGATGAGCAGTATCAACTGTTGGAGAGTACCTGGCTTTTTCTTGTCTCAGCATCATCTACTTAATGCGTTTCTGCCTTTCAGATTTTAATGAGACTCAATGTTATGCAAATGCTTATGATACACAGGATAAAGGACTGAGTTGCATATAGTGGTAGTAACATTAAAAAAAAAAAGCCCTTTATATACAAACTGAAAAGGAGCATGCAAAAGGAAAATGAATTGTGCTAAAATGGCAGTACACATGCCATTTTGTCTGCTTTTTTGAAATAAGCATACAGAACTGCAGACAAATGTGTAATGTGAATCTCTACTTGTGTCAAAAAATAGACATGCATGCATGTATCAGAAACTTTAAGACTTCCCAAGAAACCTAAAAGTGGCTTCTCTAGGGACAGGATTTAGAGGTTATGGCAAGCAGGCGGTAGGGCTCAGGGAAGGGTATTTCAACCTTCTATTCCTGTGAAATTTTTATATGTATTTTGTAAAAGCAGCATGTGCATACCCTCTCGCCCCAAGCCCCCCTCCCCACCTCCACACACACACACACAGAGAAATAAAAGATGCTTTCCCGGCAATATTGAGCTAAGGGCTTTGGCTGTTTTCACACTTGTCCTAAGATCAGCCTGTCATCCTGTTGGATTGTTTTAAAAATTAGCTAGTGAAAGACACCGCTTTATGTTGCTATAGGTGTCCCCAGCCTCCCAGTTACTGCCAGGCTTCCTAGCAGATCCCCTCCGGGATGTGGAAGGTAAGACAGTGCTGGGCATACTGGAGTAAGTGCAGAGTGGGACTCTAAAAGGTTACCCTGGTGAACTATGCTCACCATTAAGTATTTTAAAATGCACTTTTATTTACAGCTTGAGATCAAGAACCACACTTTTTCATAATTAGATTGTGAAATAAGGTCTAGTAGCACAGGTCACTTAGAAAAGATAGTAAATAAAGCAGAATTTCCTAGAACAGAGACCCTGAGGCTGCTTTTTCCAGCCATGACAGAGGGATCACTTGGTTTTCATAAACACAGGAAATTACACTTTAGCTCCTGTGCTATGGCCTGCTAATAGCCCCTTGAAGACACCATCACCTAATAGTTCCAGGAATCTGTGAACAGGTTACCTTACATGGCAAAAGGGACTTTGCAGATATTTTTTAAGATGAACAGAGTATCCTGGATTATCTAGGTGGGTCCTTAAAAGAAGTAGAAACATGTGAACTCAGTGTCACAGCTTCCGCTGAGATGGAGGCCTGCGCCCGGAGAAGTGAGCAGTCCCTCCCACCGCAGCAAGGCAGCAGGCACTTAGGGTCTACAACCATGTGGAAAGTCTGCCCGCAACCTGCAAGAGCCTGGAAGTGGATTCTCCTCTAGACAAGAGCCAAGGCAGGCAGGGGGACATCGTGATTTTAGCCCTGTGAAAGCTTTGTCAGAACTAAGTTTGTGTTTTAAGGCTGTTTGTGATACAATGTGCCACTGCAAATTTGCTATGCAGTGTAAGATGAAGAATCAACATAAAATCTAGTATTTCTGAAGACCTCAAAAATACACTGGACTAGCAATTTCCAAAATATGAACTATGGAACCCTGGAAAGGAATTGTAAAGTACCTTTCTAAAACAGGCTTCCCACACTGACCTACAGTCACGCCTCCATCTCCTGGTCAGCCTGGTGTGTCCACCTCCCCTTTTCACTGCGGGTCTTGGGGCTGAGCCAGGGCCACAACAGGTTTTTCCTACCAGCATTTCTTGGCTAGCTGGGAAGTGGTCATGGTATCTATCCCCTGCTATGTAAGAATGGAGGCCTTCTCTTGATTCTCTACTTTAATCTTCCCTGTCTCTGATATTCTCTCCTGGCCATATGCTGTCTTTGAAAGCCTCTGAATCACTTGGGCTGAGGTAGAAGAAACAATTAGGGTTTCCATATTGAAGAGACAGGTGTTTATTTTTGGAAAAACAGTAAACGTAGGGAGGTGTTTAACGCTGTTCCTAAGCACACAATGCAATTTCAAACCTTTTGTCATAGCTCCCACATGGCACAGCAGGCTGCATCCCCTCTGCAGTGTTATCAGTGGATCATGCCTGTTCCTACTATGTGCGGTGAATCCTCTCAGCCTGCACAACTACTGGCCTGTAACCCAGTTCTTATGCATAAATTGGTTTCACTTGGCCAGATGGGGCTCACACTGCTGCACGTGTTGGTGTAATAATGAAAGGAAGGTTTACAAAGGTGGTCTATGGAGGGGAAGATGGGGCGGGAGATGGGGCGGGAAGGGGAAGATGGGGCGGGAAGGAAGAGTGGAACATTGCTGAATTACACCACTAGGTGGAGCAGTGGGCAAAGAGGAGTAGGCCCTCTGCACCTCATGGGGGTTAGCTCCCTGGGCCGGGTCTCGAACTCAGGGCGTAGCAGCAATGGTGCTGTAGCACTGAGCCTTAACCCACTCGGCCACCGGGGAGGCCCTTCCTACTGCCTGGTTTTAGGTTGCTTAGTACTTCACCGGAAGGAGGGTCTCTGCCTTTGCAAATAGTGAGGGGATGCAAACACTTCATAAACTCGGCATCCAGCAGGTGTAGCCCATGTCTTGAGAGGGTCGTGAGGTGTAAACGCCGCGGTCTAGCGTCTGCTCTCGCGGGGGCCTGCGCTCAAGAGGTCAAGTTCACAGGAGGTGTGGTCTGTAGCCGCCGGCAGGCGCGGCTCCCGTCTGGGGGTGCCGACCGTACTGCACGGCCAGGGACGCCGCTCACCTGTACAGTCTGCATTCAGTGGCAGGGCCTGGAGATGAGCAAGGGGAATGATTAAAGATACAATGTGTTATTTTTCCCGAAAACACTTCTGAGTTGGCCTGGTCTGGGCGGCTGCCTCGTTCTCGGCATGCCGGGTCAAGACTCCGCCATCGGGCCGAATTGTCAACAGCCTCGCCTGTGAGGCAGGAGGGACCTCCGGGGTGTGGGTCGGCCCAGACGGGCCAATGACGCAGGGCCCGCGCTGAAGCCCTGGGGGGACCACTCCAAAGGCGATTCCAAGGGGTGACGAGAGCGCCCCGGCACAGGCGGGCCCGCCAGCCCCTGGGTTGCGAGGGGGGCCAACACTGATGATTAGCTTTTAATTACCAGAGCCAATCTGATAGTCTCGGTATATTTAAACCTCAATTCTACATATACACGAAATACATCTTCCAGTAGTAAACATATATACAAAAAATATTTTATCAAGAGTATGTAATCTCACAGATTGAACATTTCAGTGAAGCTTGTTTGGGGCAGCATATGGAAATACGTGAAAGAAAAATTTATAGGAACTTTTTGAAAAATCAGTAACTATACTGCAAATTTTATTTATACAAGGGCAGCAGTAATGTTTCTTTTCTTTTATACAAGAGCTAGTAACAAATACTTGGGAAACAGTAACAATTTTTATTTTTAAACTTTTTCATCAGAAACTTAGTTTTGAAGCTTGTTCAGCTTAAGTTTACTAACCAGCATTTTCTCCCATTTGTAAATAAGCTGTCTTTTACAATTGCTTCAAAGACTAGAGACTAAGAGGAGCATACAATTCTATTCATATGCCAAAATGAAATGGAAAAAATAACCTCCCAAAGCAAGGTTTTTTTTACACCAAATACTCATCATGTCTCTAACAGAGCGTAACCCAACAGGTGGAAAATTTTGCTTGTTACTGAGCCTAGTGCTCATTCTTTTACAGCTGAGTTCAAGATACCACTTAAGAATCAAAGCTACTTCCTTAAGAAGGGAAAGGAGTCAGTCAGCAGTTCTTTAAGAGGACAGATAGCTGAAAAGTATTTACCTTGTATTTCAATTATAGGTGAAGGTGAGCTAGCCCTCAAATCTGGTGGTATCTGAAAGACTGTTTCTTATCTGGACCACACTTTGATACTAACTGCACACCTTTCCTCATTAAAAGCAAGATCAAAAACCACATATTGAAACTGGTATTGACTTCTGATTTAATGTTTGTAATTTATAGCTGAGTGTTTTTAAGGCTATGGTTTTTCCCTCTTGAAGTTTAGTGCATAAGCCTTTCTCTAGCCCCCAGGCTATCTTGACCAGTACAAGGAATGGAAATTCATATTTAAAGTCTGACCTGTCATTTATGTGTTTCTGGCCCTAGCTTGCTGCTGAACTGCAGTAAAGACTTCTAACTTTTAAAACAATACACTCAGATAACTGCTCTGTGGTAGCAGTTTGTATGGAAACTGGAAAACAGTAAAAAACAGTACGGGAAAAAAGAACTGTCACTTCTGACAGAGTTTAGTGTGTGGAAGCAAATCAGATTTCTCATAGTGCTGCATTGCCAGCCAATAGCCATGAAGCAATCAGGAGAACAAAATTAGAACATCCATGTTGGACTCAAGATCCATTAACTGGACCCAACTGTGAATGCTTCTCCATATAAACAGATGCCTTTTAAAAATATTACTATAGGTTAAACAATAAGACTGTAGTGGATACATTTTAGGTATAAGAGTAAGGCAGAGAAGCTTTAAAGAGCAAAGATCAGAGTGTATTTTGATGTGAGAGCAGCACTGGCACTGGTTGCTTAAATTTTGATTTGTGAATGGTTTGACAGGCAGCAAGGATTTGCTAAGGGTTTGCACTTAAGATTCCCAAAAGATATGTACCATTTACTAGGTTACCTCCAAAAGAGGTATACTTTTAGCTCTTTAATTAAAGGAAACCCATATGAGCAATTGCATATAACGAACAGATAATATAGCTTAATAAGGATTTTCCAGTTTAGCCTATCAATTACAAATTACTTCCTGTAATTTGAGGTGAAGACAAATATTAAGTCAGCGTTAAGTAACAAATAGAATATTAAAAGGAGAGCTTAGCAAGGTCACACCATGGGCTATAATTAGAATCTTAGTATAAGTACATCATCGATATTTTTATCAAAATAGACTATTTTAAAGGAAATAGTACACTGTGTTATAGAAGTGGTGCAAAATATGCTTTTAAATTCTTAGATCTTTCACTTTCAATGTATAAAGGAATCATTTCTGATACTGTGTACTTATATCATTCCATGAACCAAAGTATATATTTATGGGAAATATTAAAACATGAATACAGTTTGAAGCTAACAAAAATATAATCTTACCTTAAAAAATTATAGAATTGTTATCTTCCTCAGGTATACATGTAGATGAACATAAAAACTGATAGTGCTAAAATTAGTAGTGAATTGTATGCTTAAAAGTTTACGAATATTCTCTATGTACAATAATCCTATTACTTAAAATATTCAATTTTTCCCAAGAACTCCAAATACATTATAGATATTATTACACAATTTCTCAAAGCAATCCACTGGAACAAGAGAAGGTTAGGTACCATAATCTCTAAGTCAGAACCATAGCACAAATTCATTCGAAGGTTTAAATAAGTATTTCCCAAGAGGTTTCCATTGACTCTGCCTCTTTTTCTTAAGGAAATAAGACTATAATTTTCTGAGCTTAATTCCTCATATATTTTTCATAATGGAGATTACTATCTGCCTCAAGGTAAAACCAGAGCCTTTTAAAACATGTGAAAAGCTGCACAATCTCTAGTAATTTGGGAGTAATTAAAAATTTAAGAAACCTAGTTGTAATTACATGGGTGAATATGTTTAGGTAAAAACATGTATTTTGGTAGAACTTTACATATTACACAGCTATATATGTGTATGTATACACTGTGTGTACATATACATACATATATACATAAAATATATAGTGATCCAAACATTTAAAAAGTGACCTGCTATCTATAATATACAGCAAACTTCAGGATTAATTTTTTCATATTTAGTATAAATGTTCATTACTACAAAATTATTGGCACTCAAGTCTTGAGTTCTGGAAATGAAGTTCTGTTTCTGAGATCATAGAAATAGAATTGTACCTAATTCTATGGCTAACTATCTTGAAAAATCTATTCCAATAATGACACTTGCTACACATAAAATAAATAGCAACTTAATGAATTTTTAAAGCAAAGCTCTTTTATTGTCACGGAGATATTATGGTCAAAGCAGTTGGTATTTGGCCATAATCTGTTAAGACCACACTATCTATTTCACTGTGAATTTGCATTGTATTTTAAATTTGTGTTAAATAACCAATTTGTTATTTTAAAGAAAATTTTTCCTTATAAGCTATTATTAGTAAATTTACTAGATTCTAGGATCTAGGGTTTAGTAATTAGTGCTATAATCATACTAGGTTTTCGATACGACTTATTTTAGAAAGCTAAAGTTCAGAAATTATATAATGTTGACAAAAGCAAACAAAATCCTTATTTTTTGGGTATTTGATATTACCCAAATATCAAAAAGAAACAGACTTTATAATCAAGGCACGGGTGTAATGAAAGTGAAATTCCGGTACATCATATCTATTGTATTAGTTATGATTAAAGGATTTATTCAGGGGCATCAATTATGGATATTTGTACATTTAAAAGTAAAGTGTAATATTTAGTTGTACTGTCATCGTGTCCTCAGTGCTGAATGTGAATACTTACCTGTCACAAGGAATCCTCAGGTATATTAATGTATTAGCACATACCTGTATATTTTAACTATTACCAAATGTTCAACATCATGTTAGGTCATTTTCTCTTTGGTAAAGTTAATCATCTTAGGTCATTTCCACAAGAGAAGTTCATATTTCCTTGATCACAACTATAGTCTAGTTGTCTCAGGAGCATCCTCTGGGACTCCTTGCCACAGCAGAACTCTGCAAGTTTCTGCAGACTCAGATGGGACTTGAATTTCAAGTTCGATGACTCTTGATAGAGATACAACGACCTTTCCTCAGTCTATTCTCTTCAGTTCTGGCACCTAGATTGCAATGAACTACACGCCACCATTTTCTTTTATATTAGGAGGGATCTGGTATGTACCGCAAAATAGTCAGTCATGAATATCACTTATAAGACAATTCCTTTGAGTATAGACTATTTTCTAAATAATATGGAGTTTTATACCATATGCTAGGCTAAAAAAAATGTGATGTACAATGTCATTTCTATTGTGCCAAGATTGAAATATTTTGTGGATAACTTTCTTATGCTGCTACCACAATCCCAAAGGCATTCAAAGAGGCTCCACACTACAGCATGAAGGATGCCTGCAAACTGTAGCACATTTCCCAAGAGTGTGAAAATGAAACTTCTCTTAAAATATACAGGGAGTTGAAACACTTAATCATAGGGCATCACTTTGGAACTGTGCTTTGATTCATGTTGCCTCTCTGAGAAGCCAAGAATATGATGTGTGGTTTAAAAATTACCAAAAGAGTATGATCCCCATGGCTGATGTATAGTGTGACCATTTAGGTGAGGGGAAAACAAATTCAGCAGCCAGTTGTCAGTGCCCACCACAAGAGATGACCACCATAATTTAAACACCTAACACTTTAAGTGTGTATACTGTTCATGTGAAGAGCTAGCCACAATATAAAATTTGGCTTAGTTTAATGATGAGTGGCATCTCAGGATATTTTAGCAAGAATTTACAACATCCAAGAAATCCTAAAGGGAGATGTTAACTGAGGTGAATTTTGGAAATTTTTGTGTTATTGCATCTAAGGGAAAACTGCTTTCCTAATCATTAAGAAAATGCATCTCCTAATGGAAATTTAAAAAAATCATTATTTTATATATAACCTATACATCGTACATATTATATAATGTATATATTATCTATATATAAAACAGCTGATAATTATTTCCAAATTTTGTAAATTGTTCAGTGGATTTGGTTCTCAATAGAAGTTGAACAGATACCTTAAGATCACATCATAGCTCAAAAAGCACACTGTTCATAAACTCTCCAACTGCAAACTTTGAGGCATTCTTAAGCAATACCACGAAATTTGAAAAGGCATTATACATCTGCTGACCATATCTTAATAAAAAGTATCTAAAGTAGTATGTTCATTTTTGTCAGTTAAACTTTACATGTGAAAATAAATCAATTTTGCTGTAAGTTTTTATAGGATAAGGCACTCTCGCAGCCCTCATGGTCTTGCTTTCTGTGTACACATTAACTTAGCATCAGCCTGTAACTGCAGCAAATGAGAGTGCAAGGTAATGCTCTTCATTTTTTCACTAGAGACAGAAATGAAGGGGGAAAAGCTGTATCTGTAAAAATTAGTATGGATAGCCATACATCTCTGACATAAGGAAACTATGTAGCATGGAGCAGACTCTGAATGTCAGATTTGGGTGTAGCAGACTAGCTATAGTGCTAACATTAAAATTCTGATTCTGTAAGAAATTGTATTAGGAAAGAAGGCCAATAACTACTGTTTTCTCCTAATGAGAATAACTGGTCCTTCACTAGTTAAATGCTGAATGACAGCTTTACAAAACTATTTCAAGTATTCATTATCACAGTGAAAATGTGAGACCAATGCTAGAGTGAATGATTTGAAAATTCCTCTGATGAAAAAGGCAAGGGTACTAAATCAAAACATATACAAAATGCTTCAACGCATTTCTTTGTGATATGAGTAGAAAGATTATCCATAAAAAGTTAGAAAAATTAAGATAAATTATACATTAGTACACCTTCCCAAGCACATTTCATATAAAAATCAGAATAGTATACTGGCATTTCATTCTACACAATAAAAATGCCTAGACTTGGCAGATTATCTTCTATCTGTACATGTATTTTCTCAGTAGAAGGCTTATTTGTTGCAGTTACTTTTTAAAAGTTTTATTTTAATTGTTAACCTTATCGAATCATCAGTAAACCCAGCTGATTGGGACCCACTGTGGTTCCATTCTCAGTTTCTCAATGGCAGTTTGTAATTTCTCAAAGGCTTTGTCTAGATTGTCGTTTACGATGATCAAATCAAAATAGTGGTTGTATGCTCTTTGAATCCGTGCACTTTCATCCACTGTTTTCTTCAAGTCAGAGTCCTGTAGAAGAGTTGTGAAAGGAAGTATTTATGAAAACAATGTATATATGTGGGCTCAAACACCAAGTCAAAGTGAACATAAACAGCAGGTCAAACAGCTGTTTATTGTATGTAATTCTGATATTAATCATCCAAATTGAATCTATATAGAATTTTAGAAATATGAAATATTAAAAATCATGGCCACATCTAGTTTCCAGATACAGTAAGTTTGCATTTATGAATATTACATACTTTCTGTTTCATTAAGATAAAATTCTTAAAAGAATGTTGACAGTTGTGGGGTGGAATTTAAGGTAATAAAACAACTATCCACATGTGATTGGTTTGGGTCAACAATATTACTTGTTTCAAAAGATTTTTATCTTATGCAATCTGCAAATTATGGAACCCAATTTGCAGTGGCTGTTCATCTTGAATCCAATTTACTTCCTATCTGAGAAAGAGAATCTAAGAAATGTATTTTGAGGACTAATTTTACATGTTCACCATGCAAACATACACTTTTTTTTTTGAGTTAGAATGATTTCTATTTCATAAAATAATTATCATTTTGGAATGATGTAAAGAATAAGTAATGAATTCTGCATGGGCAAGGAAAACTTTTTTCCAGGAAGCTGCAAATGTTTTAATACTTCACAATACTTCTACAAGCTCTACAAATATTTATTGAGTTCCTATTAAAGTGGTTACTATGTTTTATAATTTGTGGCTAAAACAATGAGTAAAAGAGGTTTCTACCCTTGGACGAGACAGATAAAGGGCAAATAAAAACAAAAACTTGCAAGTTGTAATACTACTGAAAGAAACACCAGACAGGAGAATTTTAGGAGATCTACTTTAGATAAGAAAGATTAGAAAGACACTAAGTGAATGACATTTAACCTGAGAACTTTAGTGGGAGAAAGACCATTCCAGGCAGAGGAAATAGCAATGCAAAAATCTAGGAAAGGAATAATCCTGATGTGTAAAGATACTGAAAGATCAATGGGGGTAGAAGAGGTAATAAGCTGAGATGAGCACTGGCTAGAAGCAACAGAAAGACAAGACATCTTTGGGTTGTTACGGGGGCAGAGAATATGGAAATGACACTAGACTGGAAATATTTAGTGATATAATCATCTAGAATTGTTGACTGATGAGCTGGATAGGAAAATAAATGAACCAATGATAGCTCATGCTCCTAGCTTGAATAAATGTATGGTTGTAGAAGGTTCAGAGTGTGTGTGTGGGGGGGGTGGGAAGGAGGAGGAATGGCGGGGAGAAGGTGGTTTTGGGGGGTAAAATTCTCTTTGTACAAGTTAGGTTTAAGATATCTGTGAGGGGGCCTCCCTGGTGGCACAAGGGGTTAAGTCTCAGCACAATCAAGCTATCGACAGCCACTGCAGCATGAGTTTGATCACCAGCCAGGAAAGCCAACCCATATGGTGCAGCAAACCTCTCCTGACTCGCCCGCTGCTCCCCTCAGCAGCGTATTTCAGTCAATCTGCCTGTTCTGTTCCCCACTCTGTCTCTGGTGAATCCTCTCACATACCCCCATCTCTAGCCCACACCCCAGCTCATGTATGCATAAATAAATAAATCTTAAAAAAAAATAAGAAGTCTGTGAGATCTTCAAGAGGAGATATAAAACAGGCTGCTGGTTATGCAAGATAGAACTCTGAGTTTGGACAAACATATATAAATTATGTGTGTGAAATTCAAAGTGCAGAGTAAGAAATGAGTACCCAGATAGGCCTGGGAGACACTAATATTTTAGTGAATACTTTCACAGAAAACTCTCTGTAGGTTTGAAACAACTAAAAAAATCTTTTATTGTAGATGTGCAAACAAGTCACAATGTAACTTGAAAACAACCATTATTACCTCTTACAGTCTTTTTTTAAAAAGATTTATTTATGCATACAATAACTGGGGTATAGGCCATAGATGTGGAGGGTAAGAGGATTCACCAGAGATAGAATGGGGAGCAGAACAGGCAGATCTACTGAAACACACTGGTGAGGGGAACAGCAGGTGAGACAGGAGAGGTCTGCTGAGCCATGTGGGTTAGCTCCCTGGCCTGAGATCAAACTGGAGCTGCACTGGCTTATGATAGCTTGATTGTGCTGGGACTTTAACCCCTGCACCACCTGGGAGGCCCTGTCATATATAGTCTTTAGCAAACTGATTGGTTAAAATCAAATAACCTCTTGAGATAATAATGGAGTATAATATACAGATGGAGAAACAAAGAATGTTTACAGTGACCTTCAGAATATATTGGTAAGTAAAAAATACAGGGAGAGTATTGTCTATAAGCTATCTTTTATGTAAGAGATGTGGAAGAGAGGATATACACAATACTGATTATAATAAAAAAATAGTAAAAATGTCCACTCACATGGGTGAGACGAAGACTGGAGAGGTAGAGAAAAGCTAGATTTTTTTTGTATTTAAGATTTACTCTGGAACTATGAAAATGTATAGAATTTACAACAAAATTAAATCCAAATTTAAAAAAGCAACACTGAAATATCGAAAGCAAATGAAACAAACTCGTGTTTCAAGTCAATAGCTTAACCACACAGAAAGGAATCATTTTGGTGAGTTTAAAATAATTTACTACCTAGTGGGTATATTCAAAGAACAATTTTTAGAAGTCTGAAACATAAGACTTTAACAATCATATTGTTAATACTGTTACTTAAAGTTTATATTTATGTGTTTAGTTTGTGTATTTATATAAAGAAATTTTGTTAATGTCCACAGGAATGAAGATTTTCTATGTAAGAGGAAAAAAGACAGGGCCTCCCCGGTGGCGCAGCGGTTGAGCGCTGGGTTGCGAAGCTGCCCGCGGCCTCTGCGGCGCTGGTTCGATTCCCGGCTGCTCCCCGGCCACCGGAGGAGGGTCCCACATGGTGCGCAGACCTCTCCTGCCTGCTCTGCTCCCCTCAGCAGTGTACTTCGGTCCTTCTGCCTGCTCTGCTCCCCGCTCTGGCTCTGGTGAATTCTCTCACCTTCCCGCACTTCTGACTGTACCCAGTGCTTGTATAAATAAATAAATAAATCTTTAAAAAAAAATAAAATAAAATCTCCCATAATATGAAAAAAGAGAAAAAACAAGAGAAAACATGAAATACAAACTAAAAAAACAAAACAATTCTAGCAGCATTAAATCACATGATGAACTTGCTTGTCAACTGTCTTGGACCCGATCTTCTCATTAGTAAAATGAAGAGGTTGGATGTGTATATTTTAATGCTGGTCTGTTTCATTTCTAATATAGAAGGAGAGTAAACTTTTGTTTTAAAATAAAGTGGAGGGTCTCCCTGGTGGCGCAGCAGTGAAGCGCTGGGCTGCAAAGCTGCCTGCAGCCTCTGCAGCGCCGGTTCGATCCCCGGACTCTGGCGAGGGTCCCACATGGCGCTCAGATCTCTCCTGCTGTGCCTGCTGCTCCCCTCAGCAGTGTGTTTCATCAGTCTGCCTGTTCTGCTCCCCACTCTGGCTCTGGTGAATTCTCTCACCCTCCCCCACTTCTGACTGTACCCAGTGCTTGTGTAATAAATAAATAAATCTTAAAAATAAAATAAAATAAAATAAAGTGGAACAATGATTTTTAAGTAAACCCAACTATTTCTGGTGAGTGGAATTTTTATTCTATAATACCTTATGCAGCATATTTCCTACATATGATTAGATAGTATTAAACACATCCAAAAGAAAATGAAAAGGAAACATTCTAAGTGAAAAATAATACTGTTGGCACGGGAAGAACTGCTTACTGTCAAAAGCTTGGTAGTGATACCGGCATCCACGACGGCCTTGTGCATGGCACGTAACGTCTCCAGTTCGGGAGCAGCAATGAACACAACATAGGGCATGAACTCGGACGTCCTCAGCACTTTCAGGGCCTTCACAGAAGAATAATTATAAACCTACTGATATAGGATTCGAATTTGAATTATGATACAATTTAATTCTATCAGCTCTCTTCCTAAGGATTAGGATATAATTTAATATAGAATATAATTTAATACTTTCCCCCTTTCATCTTTTTGGTTCCAGTATTTTCCTACAATAGTGACCCATTAATTTTGTTCTGACCTCAGTCGTCTTATTCTTTGATCCTCTCGAACAACGGGAAGTACGAAACTTAATGTTCAAAACATCATCAAGGATGATGTAAACACCATGTTAATTTCATAAATTAATGTATTTTGTACTATGAAATATCAAGCAGCAATTATAAGGAACAAAGAAAGCCCTAGAATAACTGACATGAAAAGATCTTTAAGAAAAACAGTAATGAAAACAAGTTTTAAGAATCTGAATTATTCCATTCATGCAAAGAAAATTTAAAAAATGCATTACATTTTACTTGTACTAAAATGACAGAAAAATACACACAAAACAATGTTAACAGTATTATTTAAAAGTATTATTTACTAATATTATTAGAGTTTACTAGGGAGGATGGACAGAGCAGAGTTCCACAGAATGAGAATAAAGTGTGTGTGTTAGATGGGAAGGGCCATAACTTCATTTTTTATTCTTTTATGTTGAAATTTTTTGAAATTAAAAATTTTCCATTTCCTACTACATACATTTATATACTCCTTATGCAAATACATACTATTAATCAGAGATTTATATAACTAGCTATATAAGCATAATAAAGTGCTCTTTACCAATAAGTAAAAGCTACCTTAACACTCTGAAAACAAAACAATTCCAAAAACATAAAATGTAAAAAATAGCTTTGGAATCCATGAAGCTTACCTGTGGGTTGACATCCAAAATACAAGTTCGTCCAGTTTGGACAACTTCAAGAATAGAATCAATTTTGGTTCCATAGAGATTTCCTTCATATTCCCCATGTTCCAAATATTTTCCAGCTTTAATATCTGCTTCCATCTCTGATCGTGACACAAATTTATATGCCTGACCATCTTTTTCATCTTCCCTTGGTTTCCGTGAAGTAACTAAAAATAGCATTGAAAATTTGTACAAAGACAATGCAGGGTATAAAAAAAAAAGATTTAAAAACACAGGGTAGCTGCAAGATTTTTCTATTTAGTGCATGGGGCAGAAACTATGGCTTATTATCAAATCTGGTCAGCTTTCACTTTTTTTAAAAAAAAAAAAGTTTTATTGGACCACAGTTGTGCTCATTTGTTTATATGCTGTCTGTTTTCATTTGTGCTACAGAGTAGTTGTATTGAGAGTAAATAGTTGAGACAGAAACCAAAAGACCTGCAAATCCTAAAATATTTACTGTGTATTCTTTGAGTAAGAAAGTTCACTGACCTCTGATCTATACGAATGTTTTAAGAGGTAGAATCCAATATACAATATGTAATGAGAGATGTGCTTTATAGTCAGTTTGAAACTCAAAATGTATTTTACACAGAAGCAGAGTCCTAAATTTAAGTTCTTAATAAGTGTGCAGCATGTTCCTGCTGACCAGCATGCCCCTTCTGCTTAAATATCAACTATATTCCTTCTTCACACTTTACCATTTCCTAGTTGAGCGCCCAACAAGTGAACAAAGTTCTATTTTTACTTGGTATTATCAGTTTTCTCAAGTATAGCTTTACCCACAAATTTTCTAACCTTTATCTTACTTCAACACCAAAACTTTCTTTTGGTCTCCTGCTTTGTCAGAAAACCAAATAATTGTGTAATTATTCTATTTCACATCTCAGTGGTGGAGTTAGCCATCTCACTGTTACTATGACCTTTTAACTTCTATTCTGACCATTCATTCTGAGAAAGAGAGTGACTATAATCCAAGTAAAAAATTAGAATCCTTTTGGTCTGGTACTTTAGAACTCTGAATACTTCTAGGGACATACAGCTCTTTTGTACCTGGGCCATGTTAGGAATGAACTTTAATCAGCTTTCACACTGTCACAAGGGTGCAGTTAGGCAATCTCTGCCAATTTGTTGTCACTAGCTTCAAAGAAGAGAGTGTGTGTGTGTGTGTTTGTGTGTGTGTGTGTGCATGTGCACATGTGTTATTTTCAAGTTTAGCCTTAATCTGCTTTTGGCTAGGTTAGAGATTAAAAAGTATCTCATGTCTACTAATCAACTAATCATGCAGAATATCTGGCCAAATCATTAAGTACATGAAATTAAAATTAGAAAGTAATACCACTCAAAAGTTGACATTTGACTTAAAAAGCCTGACACATCAAGAAAACTTAAAAGAACAAAATGGACTTCAAATTCAAGCTCAATAATAAAGGTCTAAGACCACATGCAAATGAGACTTTCCCTCCCTCCTGGTGTTTCCTGGCTCTTCACTGAGGGTGAACATCCCAGACTACCATGGAGAGCATTTATAAAGCTACTTCAGATTCTTCAAGACATTATGATAGCTTCTCATATTTAAAACTGTGTGATCTCTACAATTTCTGGAATTATTCACTAGAGGTGGCATAATAAAATTTCTAAGGCAATTTTAAGCTCCCTCAAATCATACTAGAACTTGGCTTAGTGTCTGTATACATAATTTTAGAAAAGTACTATTTTTTTTGTTAAGTTCTACTGTGGAATGGAATTGCATATGGCAATGTGCTGTTTGAAATAAGTACAGGCAGACATACTGTATCTACCACCATCTTCAACATGTTGAGAGAATCTTAATTCTTGGAGAAATGTCTTTAGTTTACAGAGAATTTTAATTACAATTCCATGTACTGATGAACACTAAGCAAACAAATTAAAAGAAACACCCCAAACAACTATATTGTCACATATATAAAACCCTTTCTATTCCTAGAAAAGATAAATTAGAACTGGGTGACTTGACTACAACTGACTCCTTAAGCTCATATGCTAAGCAACCAAGTAATGCAATTGTTTAGAATCTTGGTGATTAACAGGCAAACTTTTAAGTTTTAGCAGCTCTTCAAAAAATGAGGAAACAATCAACAAAGCTCAGATTTTATTTGTTAACTAAACTCAAGATTAACTGTTAAAGAGAACGTATCACTCATAAGGTAGCTTATTCGCCCCCACGTCTTTAAGTTTAGTTTTGTAGAGAAAATTAAGTCAATTTAACACAATGACAGCATTTACCTCTCCTTTCCTGTAAGACCTCTCTCTGTACTTATAAACCTGACAATGTGCAGCACAATACTGCATATTAGAAATTAAGCAGACATATCACATTTTACCAATGTTCAGGTTTTGTGTTTATTATGAGGCATAATAAAAACTAGCTGCTATATAAATGTAAATGATTTAAAGACAAGTAAAATACAACTACACCAAATAAGAGGAATTCACCTGATGTACAGCTATACATAAATCTTGCTATGTAAAATTTCAAATTTGAATCTTTACTAAAAATAAAATATGTAGAAAGGAAAAACAGTGTCTCTTTCTGGAACTAGAGTTATCGTTACAGTGGGAGCATAGTGAGGAAGTTAACTAATAAGTACTAACTTGGATAAAGCAAGAAATAACAGAATGAAGACATTATTAAGAAATATGGAAGACTACCAAAATAATACCAAAAAGAATGAGAAGCTACTGTTTCTGGTAAGTGGGCCACAGTTGATGTAGGAGAAGATGGGGGGGGAGAGGGTGTTATTTTTTCCTTATATATCTTCAAGATATATACTGTGTGTAATTTGATTTGATGAAATACTGTGCGTAATTTGATTTGACAAAAATGATAAAGAAGACTTCAATATTAAAGTACTTTGATCGCAATGAGGTTTTTATTTTTTTAACCACTCCACAAGGATTTTGTCTGAATTTAGTGATTCATGATGCCTACGAAGAAATCCAAAGTTTACCCTTAAGGGATTATAAGTAGCATGAGGAAGCAATGACTTGGTAACCCTCCCAATAAACTTTAAGAATTTTCGCAATAGGATTACTTCTCATTTAAGCATTAGACCCCAAAATATACTGGAATGAAAACAGAGAAACTAAAGTTAATCTGAAAGAGATAGGGTGACCTTAGTTTAGAGCAATCACCCCCTTTATTTTTTTAGATTTATTTTACTTATTTATACATTCAAGAACCTGAGTCTAGGCCAGAGATGTGGGGACTGATAGGATTCACCAGAGACAGAGTGGGGAGAACAGGCAGATCTACTGAAATACACTGCTGAGGGAAGCAGCGGGTGAGACAAGAGAGGTCTGCTGTGCCATGTGGGTCATCTTCCTGGCCAGGGATCCAAGAACTCATGCCAAAGTGGCTGGTGATAGCTTGATAGTGCTGAGACTTTAACCCCTGTGCCACCAGGGAGGCCCAAGATCAATCACCTTAATGTGTATCAAAAATCAGGTTTATGACCCTGCTGGACTGAGAGCTACAAGTAAGACCACAATTCACGGGATTGGTACATTAGGGGTATCTAAAGATACAGCAGGTTTCCCCCTTTTCTTTACCCTGTAATTGCCAAAAATACAACTTTTCAGATAGATATTAGTTGCATACGACAACAGAACATTAATGCTGATTTTGTGCATGAACTCTTAATGCTTTCATTTAACTAACATTCTGGGTGATGTCTAGAGAAACAATTACGACCAAATGTTAGCTGACAGGGCTACAGAGTGCTGTCTTAAGACAGCTGTGGAATCACTGGAGTTTTTCAATATCTTCTACTTGTTCATTTTCACTGGCATAATCAAGAATTATTTGAGAATGAAAATAATAACCATCTCCATCTGCCACTCACCATACTTTTCCTGCCAATCAAATAGCAAAGAAAACTTACATGGTACAGTGGTTGCAAATCTAGTAGGATTCAGTACTATGAATCTGTTTTTCAAGCTTCTTCGGCCCACTCCTTGAGCTCCTATTAACACTAAAGTCTTTCTCTGGAAGGGAGGCATTTTGGCTACCTCCTCATAGATCTGGATTTCATGTCGGTCAAATTCTAGATGTAAAAGGAAATAGGAAAGCATCATATTCACATATCTCTTATATGGACACAAATCTACCGTTACTATGTTCAGAGATGGCTCAGTTATCTTGATAGTTAATTACCACTTAAATTGTACATTTTAATAAATTTGGTTTTCATACAGATTTGTTTTTATAAATTTGGCAAAGTACAAAAATTATTTTATATTCTGATTTAAACATCTGCTTCTATCCATCTGCCCTTAAAAGTGTGTCTATCAAGCTAGAGAAATGCCTTTGTATTTTCCTTATCAGATATTCTAGTTACTAGAACCTTTTTATTATCAGTTTATCACTAGAAATAATTCCTTTAGCATAACCAAATTCCTAGTTAAGAACTATATAGCAAATATATAGCAATATGTTAAGTCTGATTGCTTAAATAAGTTCTATGGAAAAAGTATGGCCTTTCAACGATATAAATGGATAAATATTAGGTAGGATTCATAAAATGCATGCTGACATTCAAATATTAAAAGTCTGAATTTATGTATAAAATAAAAAGTTGGATCCAAACTATTTTCAGTAGAAATACATTCCAAAGTTATAGTCTATGTCAGTGGGGAAATTACAAATTGTCTGTTTTGCAAGAAGGCTTTAAGAATATATATGTAATAATTAAGACAAAATGGATCTGAAATATTATATCACCTGTTACTGTGATTATAGTTCTCAGTCTATAGTGTAACATTCTTCTTTAGGTTAATATCAGCAAATCTTTCGATGTACAATTTCTCCACAGTTTAAACAAGTATTAAGAGACTATTTTCTCTTATTATGACATTATAATATTTTCTTTACAAGTATGTTATTTACTTTATTACCCATATAGAGGTAGTTTTTTAAGGTCCTTTAAAATTGTCAATTCCTTTGAGTAAGCCTCTAGGGCCTTCTGATTCAAAGAACTACATTTTACTTCTGTCAACTTCTATAACTAAGAAGAATAGCTATGGTAGTTGTCATATTTATCTCTTTTTTTTTAAATCTAAAAGATTTAAGATAGAATCTTACCAGATCAGACTGAGATTTGTTTAGTTCAGTACTAATTTTTCAGAAGTGTCAGGGACAATATTATAGCAGAATATATAGTTACCCTTAGTCATAGCTCTTTTAATAACTTCACATAGGCATTTTGCTCTTTAGAAATGACATATAAATTACAAAATTCTCTGAATAGTTTCAATTACAACATTGCCCCTTCATTAACATCAGCATAACTTCGTTTTATTGTAAACTATAGTCACAAAACACACTGGTAATATAGTCTATATGATATACCAAAATTTAAATAATTTCTATATATTATATTGTACTATGTGTTAATATGCCAAGTCCCTTGCAAATCAGTACTAATCTGAATTACAGTCATTTAAAATTACACATTTAGAGCTTGTCCCACGTTGATAAACAGTATGACACTATTTGACTTGGTCTTCTCAAAAGATATTTAAAACATACCTGCATTTCTGGTTGTGAGATACATCATCTTTTTCTTTTTTTTGCTACTTATGGTTCCACAAAAAGGTCCTGAAGGATGACAAGACAAACATAACTTAAGCAGCATGTCACAATCTGATAAATCGCTCTGCAGTCTTCTATAGGGGTGAGAGCACATCTTCCCAATCCGTCTACATATACATCACAAGGGGCAGGGATGAGCAAAGCCAAAAACTCTGCTACTATACCAGCAGGGGGCAGAAAGGGATCAAAAAGTTTACTTTTGAGAGCAACACAGTAAAATGATGGGAGGGATTAGTTCTAGATATTATTTTAAATAAATTCATTTGCTAATTCAGATGAAAGTGGCAAAGAAAGGTGGCCACAGGTACTACTCATTATTTATTGTGCTGAACTGTCATTACCTGAATTGTCCCAGTCTCTTCTAACAAATGCCTTTCTCTTCTCTTCCAGGAACTGGCTTGGAATGAGGCCAGCGCTTCCACCCTCTTTTACGTGGCTAGCCTAGAATTAGATTAATGAATACTGACCAAAATTTGAGACCATACTGTAGGAAGGAAGGACAAGCAGTAGTCAGACAGAGGGAAAAAAAATCACACTTTCGGGCCTTCCTGGTGGCGCAAGGGTAAGTCTCAGCACTGTCTAGCTATTGGCAACCACACTGCAGCACAAGTTTGATTCCCCAGTGTGACTGGCCCACATGGTGCAGTAGGCCTCTCCTGTCTCACCTGCTGCTCCCCTCAGCAGTATATTTCAGTTTATCTGCCTGTTCTGCTCCCCACTGTTTCTGGTGAATTCTCTCACAACACCCCTGTTCCCCACCTCTGGCCTACACCCGAGCTCTTGTATGCATAAATAAATAAATCTTTAAAAAAAAATCACACTTTCTCTTTAAAACTAACCTTGACATTTAAATCCATTAGCCATCAGTTATACTGATTTCTAAGGAGGAATGAATTACAGAATGAGAACAATCTTACTAATGTTTCCTCAGATTCAACATTATTATATATGGGTGTACTGGATGATGAAAGAACTAAGAAAGGGTAAATTTTACAGAATCTGTGATTTGAAGAAGGTAACTGAATTTCTTGGAGCTCTCATCTAAAAAAAAAATCTGCTTTCTATGACTATTTCCTTTCTTTAATTTGTGTGGTTTTCTTTTTTTGCTCTTTCTATAAATGCCTTCTCTTAGTTTTCTAAGAGAAAACACTTAAGCACTGAGGAGTAAACTGGCACCTTGTCAATTCCTAGTGAAATATCAGGACCAAAATATAAAGGTATATAGGTTCTATAAATTATTAAAACTTTAAGATAAAACTTTGATAAAACTTAAAGAATGGAAAGGAATAAATGCTATCCTATCTGTTAAGAGGGCATTTCATCTAACATCCTTTAGTATTTACTATCAACATTAATCCTGCTCTGTTGGTATATTCTGAGGCCAAGAATAATGAAAGAAAGATTTGGGGAAAGAATAGAGAGTTTAATTCATGCTACCAAGAATCTGAATTTCCTGAGGGGTAGTGAAGTTTACAACAGGTAAAATTTTACTAGTATCTAAACCATAACTTTTAAAATAAAATCCAAAGAAGTGATATTAAAAAAAAAAATGGTTGGACAGTGGCTGCTACTGTGTTTATCCTAATAACGAGCATAGGAAAACCTGGTATCTATTTTAGCAATTAAAATTCTGAAAAATAAAATAGCAGACCACAGAATGCAGAGACTGAAATAGTGGTGACAAGTATTAAAAGAGAAAACTAAGAGAAGGCATTTATAGAAAGAGCAAAAAAAAAAAAGAAAACCACACAAATTAAAGAAAGGAAATAGTCATAAAAAGCAGATTTTTTTTTTAGATGAGAGCTCCAAGAAATTCAGTTACCCTCTTCAAATCATAGATTCTGTTAAATTTACCCTTTCTTAGTTCTTTCATCATCTAGTACACCCATATATAATAATGTTGAATCTGAGGAAACATTAGTAAGATTGTTCTCATTCCGTAATTCATTCCTCCTTAGAAGTCAGTATAACTGATGGCTAATGTGAGCTACTACTATCTCATTTAGAGTTGAGTACTAGGTTCTGGGTCCTCTTCTCTCACACCATGAGACTTTCATTTGCGCTAACAATTTAAAGGATAGACATTCTGATTTGTCAGATTCTCCAGTTCTGAATACTGTGGTTATTCAGATATAAACATTTACAAAAACAGACTTATTACTGCTGATGGAGCTTTCTGAAAGCTGTATTGCAGAAAAGGATCATCAAGATACATATATATCTTCTAGGAAATGAAAGGAGGGAAAAATAAAGTGAAACACACCCATTTCCATTCACGCAGGTTTCTTTTTTTTTTAATTTTTATTTATTTATGCATACAAGAACTGGGGTGCAGGCGAGAGGTGTGGGGGGTGAGAGGACTCACCAGAGACAGAGTGAGGAACAGAACAGGCAGACTGACTGAAATGCACTGCTGAAGGGAGCAGCAGGAGAGGTCTGCTGCACCATGTGTATAGCTCCCTGGCTGGGGATCAAACTCATGTTGCAATGGCTGGTGATAGCTTGATAGTGCTGAGACTTAACCCCTTCCTTGAGCCACCAGGGAGGCCCCATCCACACAGATTTCAATCTGAGACCAAACAACGCTGATAAAGTAAATCTTCACTTCTCATAAACTGAGAGGTGAGCAAATAGATTAAAGAATTTAACATATTTTTATCATGAATGGATACACAGAGAAAGAGGAGGCAAGCGATAGACTACTATACTCATAGTGAAAACAAAACAAAAATTCCTGGTTAAAATAAACAAAAAACAAATATTGAAAAGAAGACCCCAAGCGAGTTCTTCTCACCCCAAAGCATATTTTACTACAATCACCCATACAGGAGAACCAACTGGTCTAATCCCTAAACCAAAGTGAAGGTACCATAGGCTAGTTAATTCTGCATTTATTAATAGCTACTCACAAATTCCCTCTCAATTTGGTCTTCTGTCCACAAAATTAGCAGTCATGAAGCACGAGCTGTTCATGCAGGAAAAAGCATTGGAACAAATGCTAATACCTTCTTCCTGAATATTCAGATATTGGGCCAGATCTAAGATTGAAAATAAAAAAGTAGTTGAGGAAATTTTGAGAAGCATACTAACCTGCCACCAGTTTGGATCTTCTCTGTTTACAATCTGAAGAATCTCTCCTTTTGAAAACTTCAATCCTGCTTCTTTGCAGGGTATCAGGTTATCATTGTATGGATTATAATCAAAATGACATTTCACAAATACCTAAAACACATAACACAATTAAGAATACTAGATATATCATTTTCACCATATTTTTGAAAATTTTTTCCACTCTAATTATATTAATAATTGACTATATCTTTATAGTAGTTCAACCAAGAAATCTTCTTAAATAAAAAACAAATTATTAGAGCATTAGTAATTTGATGTAAGAAAAGAAATAGTAGTACTATGTTAAATTTCATTTCTATTTTAATTTCAAATCTTATATCAACAATTTGACATTTTATTTCATCATTCTTACATTTCCCAATTATTTCACGATTTTTCAATCAACACTGCATAACTTTTATGCAAATAAATGGTACTTTTGAATTAATGTCTTGAAATAATATATGCAGTTGATTTAAAGCACATATTTCATAAGATTGACATAAGATTGACTTCTTGAAAGAGCCCTGAAACCAACAGTATATATTAAAAATTCATATAGAAGTCAAGACTTCAAATATATTTACTAACCTTAAAAGAAATTTTAATCCCAACTTTCATCCTTGGTAACATATTTTTTTAATCATACAGATTCACACTGGCCAAGAACTAGTGTAGAAAATACATTTTTTGGAATCATCTTGCTGATTACCTTTTTCATTCATAATTTAAGGATAACCATTAAATTGATTATAGGACAAATACTGAAAAAGCCTTGAAACTGTTTTCCCATTTAAATAAATGTAACTCTACAAAAATCCTTTAAATCTGTTTTATTAATATAAGCCTGGTGATTACCACTGGAATATTTTGCCTATTCACTATGATTTGAATTCTCATTAAAGTAAGTTTTTTTCAGTATTTGATGGCAAGTCCAGACCAATTACTTTCTTGAAACAGACTTTTCCATGCATAGTTCCAAAAATTCAACTTTTATCTACAAAAAATTTGACTTAGCACTCATCAGGTAAAATTTAACAAGCAGGGAAGCACATAATTATTAGTCAAAAAGACTATTTTTCTACTTATTTATCTTACTTCTATAACACAAGTAGCTACATTATATTAGTGCAGTAAAATAAAATATGATGGATGCATATTAAAATGATTTACAAATAAATTTGGAAACATAGCAAAATTTTAGTTTTGTACAATTAGATGATTCGGATAGAAAGCAGTCTGAACATTTTCAATAACTTTGGAAAGACTAAATATTAATGCCCCCCCCCCCAAAAAAAATCAGTAAGTCAATAATTTGTTTTCTGGCACATAATTTTAGAAGTATCTAAAAGCAAGCATACAAACAATATTAAGATTGCTAAAATGGGACAATTGGCTAACTTGACAATGACATGCAACTCAATGTTTTGGATATGGGAAAAATCCAAAATGATTAAGTTTAATCAAGATAAATTTAGTTGGCTGGTAAGAAAGAAAACAGTACCAGAGAAGGCACTGGAATGACATCATACCTGACGGATGTGTGCTGGATGCCTCTCCATATTGATGCAACTCTAAAAATACATTTTTCATTGCATAAATAAAGCCAGATTTTAAATTTATAATAAATTAACAAAAACAAATCAACTGGCCCATTTTCATCACTTCATTCATTTGGTAAACAACTACCTCACTAACTAATTGTTCACAGGTAAATCTGAAAATTATAAATCATAGAAGCAAAAAGCTAGAGGTATTTGAGATGAGGCAGAAAAAAGGGATGGATATATAAAGATATAAAAATACCTGGATATACCTTCTTGAAAATGCTGCAGTGAATGAATTGTAACAGCGCATCATAATCTAACCTGAATATGTTTATCATTCTTATTTATGAGACAGAATATATTTTACAATCATAAAGCTCAGACTCTTCAAGATAGTCCAAATTTCAAATATTCATCCCCTGACTCTCATTAAATTGTTCTAGAAAAGCCATTATTTGTAAAACAAACCATAATCTCTCAAATGCACAAGACTTCTAGAAAGATTTATTTTAATTTCAGTTATCAATTGTGGAACATTATTCTCATACTCAAAAACTCAGATTAATTTCATTTTATTTACAATGACCTTTGAAAATGTCTGAAAAGAAAATCAATGAACCCAACCTTTGATCTAAACATTTTGTAATTACCTTAAAAATCATTAGAGATTTACTAGATTTAGTACTGTATCTAAATGTATTTAAATGTATCTTCAGTACATTTAAAAGTGTTTCATTAATAGGCTCTGCATGTATACTGATCATTTTTCATTAAGAAATTACTAAACACAATCTACTAAAATATTTCAATTTGTGAATGACAAACAATCTGAAGTACATAGAAGAAAGAAAAAGAAGTATAAAGGGCTTTTAAGCACAGGAATATAGTTCAATCTCAAAATAGAAATAACAAAGTTAAAACTACATTATGACAGCATTTTCTTCTATCAGATTAGCAGAAATACAAATATTTGATAACATTTTGTAAATAGGACTATGGACCAATGGACATTTCCTAATAGTTTAGTGGGAGAAATGACCCAACCCCTTATGAGTACAATTTGGCACAAGCTGTCAAAATTACAAAGGCAAAATCCTCTGACCTAGTAATTCACCTATGGGAATGTATCCAACAGCAATATTGCTTGGACATATGCAAAATGAGGTAAGTATAAGAAAGACTATGAACCACTGATTTATTACTAAAAACAAAAGATTGGATGCAACTTATTTAACAGTAGGGAATTATTTAAACAAATGATGCTAAATTTATGTAAATCTCTGCAGCTGTTACTAAATGGGGGGGGGGAGGAGAATAGATTGTATATCAAGAGGCAGCCTATGTGCCCAAGATTCTTGAGATACATGGCTAAGTGAAAAACCAGAAGGTGGAAGGGGAGAAAGACTATACAATTCTTATTTACTTGCATAGGAATTAAGAAATTCTGGAAAAATAAACTAATAGCATGGTCATGGTTTCTCATGGGGGATGAGGTCTAGGTTGATAGAAATAATCAGGAGGGAGATTTCAATAAACACTATTTATATTTCTTGAATTCTAAATCACTGGATTTACCTATTCAAAAAGTAAATTCTTATGGTAATGTAAGTGTTTCCTGTTTCTAAGTAAGATGAAATAACAAGGTTGGGCCCTCCTAAAAAAACAGAAATAAACAAAATGAATTATACTATTGCCCCTGCTAACTACAGACTTTCCAGTTTGCTACTCAGAAAAGGAGAATCAAATGGAGCCAGGTGGCTTCCAAGTTGAAAAGATGAGGTAGGAGACCAGGAAGGTCAAGGTGGCTGCAGTGCACAAAACAGAGTAATAAGTGAGGGAAGAGCTGAACAGAGACAGGGTTTGAGAACTGTAAAGGATTCCCTCCTGTCTTAGAGTACTAATCAGTACATGTGTCTGAGGAACATAACCAACAGATGAAGAGCCATCGGAAAGCATAATAAGGAACAATATCAGGAGGTCATACAGGTCAAGAAGTTTGTTATAACAGGATGAGTGAAAAAAACTTCATAATTCACGAGGCATTAAAAACTCACGTGTTATACACTAGACTTAATCCAGCTTTGGCTGCCTCTAACAAAGCTGAAAAATCAAGATCCAAAAGGATCAAAAAGTTCCCAAGGAACTTAAATGTATCCTAGAACAAAGCTTACGATTATTTCTGGAAATACAAATATATACAGCACCCAACAAGGTAAAATGCCTGATGTCTGGCAGCTAATAAAAAATGACCAGGCATGCAAATAAGGAGGACATATAATCCTCAATATGAAGGGGGAAAAAATCTAGCAAGTGAGAGTGACCCAGAAATGTCACATATGATGCACGAAGTAGACAAGGAGATTAAACTTTTAACTATACATATTCTATTCCTATGTTCAAAAAGCTAGAGGAAGAATTGGGAATGCCAGATGGAAAAATGGCAGATAGAAAAAAACTCAGTTTAAACTTCTAGAGATGAAAACCAAAATATTGGAAACAGAAAATAAACCAGATGTGATTAACAGCAGACTAGACACTGTAGAAGATCAGTAAACTTGATGGCACAGCAACAGAAACATGAAAACAGGCAGAAAAAAAGATAAAGTAAATGAACAGACTATTAGTTATAGGACAACTTCAAGGAGTCTAATATACATGTAATTGAAGTCACCAAAGGAGAAGAAATAGAAAAAATATTTGGAGAAATTACAGCAAAAATTTTCCCAAATTCAATCAAAGTAATCATTTTTCAACAAATGGAGCTAAAAAAATTGGATACCTATATGCAAACAACAACAACAACAAAAATCCTTTGATCCATTCCTTGCACTTTTTACAAAAAATTACTTATAAATATTTCATGGAGCTACATATAAAGCATAAAGCTATAAAACGTCCAGAAGAAATCTTTATGGCCTTGGATTATATAGAGAATTTTTACACAGAACAATAAAAGTATGATCCAAACAATAATAAATAGTAAACTAGACCATCAAAATTAAGATGCCTGCTTTCTTAGTTGTGATAAGAGAAACGCAAATCAAAATCATGGTAAGATCCATGACACACCTATTAGAATGGCTACAATTATAAACCAATCACACCAAATGTTGGCAAAGATGTGGAATTTCCGAAATTCTATCTAATGCTATGGAAATTGTAAACTGGTAGAACCCCTTTTGAAAACAGTTCAGTAATTTCTCCATAACTTCAATATATATCTACCATAGGATCCAATCCTTCAATTCCTAGGTATTTACCATGGAAACTTAGTAACTATTTGCAATAGTCCCAAACTGAAAACAACAAAATGGTCATGATAACTAATACATAATAACTAATACAACAAATAACAGGTTAAAAGAGAAAAACCTTAACAGAGAATGTGATAAAATCCAATGCTTATTCATAATTTTAAAAAAAGATTAGCAAATTAGAAATAGGATTTCTTAATCTGATTAAAAAAACCTTCTAAATAATTACATGTCAGAAGTGCCTCTTTAAAGTCAGGAACTGAACTGAATTGAGTATCTATTTTTAGATGTAATCAAAACTATGTGAAATTTTAAAAAAATCAGTAACTCCATGCACCCTCAGCTGGTCTGCCTTGAGACCACTTGAGTGCCAAGCTCATTTTCCTATGAAGCCTGTTTCCACCTCAACAAGATGAAAAAACAAGGGAAACTTGCCAACCTTCATACACTAGATAAAGGAACTTCCTGCAGATGATATATGCAGTAACAAATAATATATGTCTGTCATAACAGATGATAAAAATCTTCAATTGCCCTTAAAGAAACTAAGAATAAACAGTATCTCTCCTATTAAAGAGGTAGCTTGTTTGCAAAACAGGGAATGGTGATTCATTTTAACAAATCTCACACTCACACATTTCTGGCAGTAAACACTCTCACCATTACCAGCCATGCTGAGACAAAGCAGCTGACAGAAATGCCACCCAGCATCTTAAACCAGGTTGGTGTTAACAAACTTAAGAAGACTGCAGAGGCTGGATGGAAAAATACCACTGGCTATTGGGGAGGAGGGTGAGCTTGTTTAGCATTTTGATGAGACGTCCAACAGTGAGGCAAACAGAAGTGATTTCACTTCTATAAAAATAATAAAACTTCATTAATATTAACTGCTTAAAAATTTTGCTTAGTATGTAATAAAATATAGAAATCTTTAGTAATTTAAATTCTGAGGTCCTTGATTACTGCTTTTTAACTGCTGATACACAATTACTGGTTAGCAATTAACTGATCCAAAGAAGCCAGAATAAAGTTTTAAACAAGCATCAAAAAGTCTGCCTAGGGCCTCCCTGGTGGCGCAGCAGTTGAGTGCTGGGTTGCGAAGCTGCAGCCTCTGCAGCGCCGGTTTGATCCTCGGCTGCTCCCTGGCCACCTGAGAAGGGTCCCACATGGCGCGCAGACCTCTCCTGCTGCCCGCTGCTCCCCTCAGCAGTGTACTTCGGTCCCTCTGCCTGCTCTGCTCCCCGCTCTGCCTCTGGTGAATTCTCTCACCCTCCCGCACTTCTGACTGTACCCAGTGCTTGTATGTATGTATGTATAAATCAATCAATCAATCAATCTTTAAAAAAAAAAGTCTTTGCCTAGTTAAAAAAAGAACTAAAGAAGCATGCTCATTACCTACACTTCTAGTCAACATTTTATTGAAAGTTCCATAAGCACAAGAAGGCAAAACTAAATGAGAGAAGTAAAAGGTTTGGAAAGGAGAAAATAAAACTTATTCTTTAAAAGTAATATTTTTGCATAGAAAACTCCCCCAAACTATAAAGTATTAAAAATAATAATTTAGAGGCCTCCCTGGTGGCACAAGGGGTTACGTCTCAGCAATATCAAGCTATTGCCAGTTACTACAACATGAGTTCGGTCCTGGCCAGGGAGTTAACCCACATGGCACAGCAGACCTCCCCTGTCTAGCCTGCTGCCCCCCTCAGCAGCGTATTTCAGTAGATCCACCTGTTCTGTTCCCCACTCTGTCTCTGGTGAATCCTCTCACTCCTCCCCCCATACCTCTGGCCTACACTTCAGTTCTTGTATGCATAATTTTTTTTAAAAAAATAGTTTAGAAAGTTACTTAAAAATAAGATTAATATGTTAAAGTGAGTTGATATCTCTGTGGTTTAAGATTTGTAATCAGTATTTGCACAAGTCAGTCCACACATTCCCAAACAAATGACTAGTCATATTCTGATTTAAAGTAAGGACTTGGCAGAACTGTTTCTCTAGTCATTTCACCCACTCAGTTTCTCCTACTAATTATTGTCATTTGCATATACATCACCTATTCCATTTGCAATATTTATTGTTTTCTCAGTACTTTCACTATTTTTATTTTTGCTTTTGAAAGATAATTGTGAGGTAAAGTTTATATAAATAGCATATACTTGAAGTACACAATTTGATAAACATGGACGAATATATGCATCCCTAACTCCATTAACACATTCCAGAGAGCAAATGTATCTGTCACCCCCAAAGTTTCTTTACCATTAACATTTTTATCCATTAACATATATAGATTTTCTAATATGAAACCAGTCTAGCATATATGGGATAAAGCCAACTTGTACATGTTAGATTATCTCCCTTATACATCATTAACTTTCATTTGCTGCCCTCTTGTTGAGAATTTTTACATGTGTATATATCCCTGAGTGAAATGGAACTGTCATTTTTTTCTTATGGTTTTGATACCTGGGTCATGCTGGCCTCAAAGAGGAGTAGGAGAGAATTCACATCAGTTTGACCTTAATAAACAAATGGGATCATGAACAACCTTTGGGAACCTATCTGATCTGCAAGTTGAAGAACTTCAGAATTGGTTATAACTTCTAAATTTGGATTCAAATTTGAAACTATAGATCCTTACCTCCCATGAAAGATTTTGGGTTTTAAGAAAGCACCTGAGCAGCAGCTCTCCAGCATGTGACTGTGCAGGTGTTTCTCATCACCAACCTTCTCCCTCTGCAAAGCAGCAGAGAGGCAGCTCCTCCCAAGGCTGCCGCCTGCGACCATGCGGCCTTCATTAACCAACCTGTCCCTTTCAGGGGCAGCTCTTTCTTCCCACTTGTGTTTGCACAAGTATCCTTTCCTTCCCTTCTCTTTTTATAATAAAGCTGCCCTTTTAGATACAAAAAAAAAAAAAAAAAAAAAAAGACACCTCAAATGATTCTAATAAAGATGATCTACAGAGCATGCTTTGGATGGAAGGAGGTAAGCTCCTGCTTCCATCTGCTCTCACACCAGTCCAGAGGGAGGGCTGAAACAAGCCTAGCAGGTCTACATGGAAGAGCTTCTAGTTACAGCTGAGTTAAACGGAATGTTCTTGCTGCTCTCCAGCTTCCCTTTATAAAAGGATTAGTTTGTCAGGACAGTCCTGGTTATGCCTATTGTTCTAGCATAATTAGTAATAATTGCCCCTTTCACGGTTAAAAAACACCCCAATTTGGGTAAGATCTAGCCCTCCTTTGGAAGTCTTCATGTTACAATTTCTTTTCTTCTTTACTAGAGGATAGGTCTGAGACAGCATCAGGGTTAGCTGATTTATCCTTCCCATCCTTTCCCCCTTCAATCTCTCTTCTCTTAGTTCTAAAACCCAAAGTTCGAGAAGCCATAGGATGGGGAAAACCTCATGCTTAACATGCAGTTAAATATCACTGCATTTCATGCCATTCAGACCAGTTCACCAGGGATAGAATCTACAAAAGAATTTGGATCAAACTGTAGTTATTAATATTAGAAACATTTATCTTGCAATAAAAGTTCATGGCAGCCATGGTAAGCTGGTAAGAATTCTGGAGTTTGGGACACAGCGAAAAAATATTCACAGTTATCAGAACATATAATACAAAAAAACTGAACAATCTTAAGTTCTACTTTTCTAGGCTATTTAGGTCCAAATGAAAATGTGAAAGACAATGTGAACCCAAGTGAAGACTAATAGTAGCCCGAGAGGCAGTTAGTGCTATGAAATGTCTACTTTCTAGTACCGTTTCTTTCATGATTCTTCTTGAAGATGAGGTCTCTAGACTTTCATTTTAACCAAAGTTCATTACAAGTCTACTTCTTTTCAGAAGTTCAATTAACACACTAAATTCATGACTAAATATTCTATCCTAACCTCCAAAGATCAATATAAGGCAGGTATGTAACATGGTACCATTTTTTTCTTTTCGGTTTTTTTTTTGTTAACATTTGTTTACATAATTTTAAACAATTTTGTGTTTTAGATGAATAGGATCTCCCCCTTGGGTGTAGTTACATGAACACATTATTTAAAAGGATTGCACACACACAAAAAATAAAACTAGGCTTTAAGTTCTCATATTAACCATACAAAAATAAGATACATTGACAGCATCTTATGTAAAAAACTTGTTTCACTCACACATGAAACTGCAAATTTCTGAAAATACCTGAACAACAGAAGGTATTAATCTAAGGCAGTGATAAATATCTCTTATTTCTATGTTATCTAGACTTGAAAACTCTTTCTTCAGTTCCAACACTATGATAATGGCTCATGGTTTCTCTGCAATCACTTTATTCTTTTCTTTCTTTATAATCCTGTCACATCGCACTACATCATCACCACTGTCACAAAGCTATGTGCTAAGTACTCTGCAGCAAGGGCTGCTGTGAGGACTTTACATGAATTAACTCAGTTAATCCTCAGAACAATCCTGCAGAAAGGAAAAGTTTCCCTAACTATATAGGTGAGAAAAAAAAGAAAGAAGCTATTAAGAGGCAGCTTTGGTACTGGAGCCCACACAGCCACCTTAACCTTTCATTGTCTTTCCCAAATCACATCACACCTGCAAAAATCTGTTACCTGGTAACAAGATCTTTCTTTTTGAAAGTCACTCAACATAACAAGGCTAGATGATCACTTTCATTAAAACATTCCTGTTTAGTTATCTATTTTATTTAAAAATTAGTTACAAAATACAGATCAAATATGTACAAACCAAGGAGTCAAGATTCTTTTCAAGCTGTATTTATGTCTCCCATCCTGACTTCATTCTTTTTAGGCCATCACATGAACACTTAGCAAAAGGTGATAAGGACTATATTCTTATTTTCTCACAGGGCCTGAAACAAACCAGGTTTCAAAAATGTCTAATAAACTAATGACTAAACAGCTTTATGGTTTTTCTGATACCTAGCAGTAAGTTACTGTAATGTTCACAAGGAGTTCCTCACTTCTTTCCTTGTAAAAGAAGATGGTGCTAATTATTGACAAATTCAAAACTCTACCCATGACGAAATAATGCAATTCAGAACAATTAAGCCAGGATTTTCTCTGTTTAACAAAAGAATAGCAACCATTGGCTGTACCACAGGATTAAAGAAATTTAAGTATTCTTAATATTGCCAAGAATTTTATTACTAACCTGCTGAGGGGTAATGGTGTCTCTATAGCTGGGTAAAATTTTTAGGGTGACACTTCCACTAATACTTTTCAGTAATTCTTGTAACTCCTTTGGATTGTTTCCGACCTCATGGCCATTGACTTCTTTGATGATATCTCCCACATGAAGCAGACCCTGTCGATCTATCATTCCTCCATGAAGGATTCGGGCAATTACCAGATCATTATTTTCAACCCTAAATGTTACACCCTAAAGAAAATAAGGAACAGAATTATCATTGAGTTTATATTATTAGAAAGATAACTTAGATATTCGTGAATATGTATATATAAAAAATAATTTTCATAATAAGCAGGTGAGTAAACCATTTCTACTTTTCTCATGTTCTCTTACTTTTCAGATGTCTCCTGTCTCAATATGTTAATCCCATTTAAAATATGAGCAACTGTTTAAACATCAAAATTAACCTTAAAAATGAACAAAACATTAGGCTGCATTCCACAGTATAAATGGAAGCTCTAGGGAGCAAAAAAAGTTATATACATGTACTCTGATAGTATTCCTTATGACTTTTTTTTTTCACTTCACTGTTCCTGTAGTTAGGAACCAGAAACAGTGATTTTAGCAGGCATCGTAAACTTCACTACTTAGAGACTATTACCACGGTTTCAATTTCCAGTTTCAGTTCATTTTGGTTTAATTTTGTATGTTACATCAAGTAGCGAGCACATCAGTTATGCACTTACATACAGGCCCAAAAAAGACTGATAGAATATAAATAAGGTTTCATAATGATACAATTATGAGAGACAAAAAATGAGATAGAGGAGTGACTGAGCCACAGTATGTCAGGGTTAAGCAGGCATTGATTAATCTACTCACCAGTGGTTCCCCAGCTCTTTTGTGAATACCAAGAATACGAATGGCATCTACCGGCAACAACTGGTTATTGATAGAATTATTCATTTCTGGGCTTGATGGAGGTGAATCATAACACTTTGATGCCACAATATCATGGGCTTCCAGGAGTGACTACAAGGATTCAAAATAGCCTGTGGTTATTAATTGCTGATAAGTTATTAAAAATGATTGAATTATCCCAGTGGAGTACTAAAAATATCCAAAGTATACATTATTAAATTTTGAAGTATGAGTTAAATACAATGTATTTTTAAGAAATAGAAATATAGTTTTACTTATTATCAAACAATATCATACCTCTTGTTTTAAAAGATTTAAAGACACTGGTAGAGTTTTGACTTTTAAGTGCCATGCTCAATGGAAAGTAGACCTCGATTCCCATCTAGGTGGGACAAAATAAAAGCACTCGATTTCACTGTTAACACTGTCATCACCATCATCATCATCATCAGTCAGTAATTATTATCAATCCCAATTTATTAATTATCACACAAACTTAAAAGCCTGAGACCCTAATTTTTACCCTAAAGTTATGTTAGCAATTCCATAATACATGTACAAATATATACATATATATAAAATATCTGTTAAAAAGACATCCAATAGAAGATAAATATCAGTAACATATCAGTGATAGAATATTTTATATTACCAATGAGGTTATAAGATCCATGGGATGGGAGGAATAACAAATCAATAACAGTTCTGAATATATTCCTACATTTACTATATATATCTTCATGGATAACTTTGCTCTACCTTTCCAGGACTTTTTAATTATTTTCTGTTTTTCATTTATACCATTATACTCAACATAAAACTAATCTAAAATTTATTTGAATAGATGGAACACAAGTTCAGAAACAAATCAAAATAGAAGAGAGCAAATGTAAACAGGTTCAGAATACAAATGTCCGACCTTAATTGTTAATTTCTGGTCATTTCATGAAATTATGTGTAAGATATTAAAGAAAAACTGTTTTTTAAAGATTATTTATTTATGCATACAAGAACTGGGGTGTAGGCCAGAGGTGCATGGGGACAGAGAGCGACAGACCAAGCACTTCCCTGACTTTTCAGTAGGCAATGCATTATAGGGTAACTGAATAGCCAACGGGATGGAAGCAAAGCACTACTTTATGTAAAGACACTAGTTAATAAGTGTAGAATGAGAGAATTTGACAAAAGTTATTTTGCAACCTCTAAAGAAAATATTGATTCCGTCAAGGAATATTTATATGTGTTCGTGAGCAGGTTGAGAACAGTGTTGTATAATACTAGAATAACAACACTCTAGATTATTTCCTAGTAAAGAGAATTTCAAAGGAAGGATTACATTGTTTAGCCCTTAATCCAGGGATCAATCTCAATATGAATAGTGGTTGCTCAACCAAGGATTTATAGATCTTCTGATGCAGTTTAGTTCATGTTATATCACATCACTTACAATTCACTTTCATTTCAAATAATTAACTTGAATCATTAACTTTTCATATAGTTTATAGGACATAGAAGGAGTAACTAAACAACACAGTGGGGAAGCAACCAGATAAATCCAGGGAGTGGAACACTCTGCAGGAAAACAGGCTGCAGATCACTATCACAATCAGGCAGAAGAGATAGTCCAACCAAATACCACCTACATGGACTCAGGGTGGAAACTTGTATATACAAGCCATTTGTGTAGAATATCTGGGTGCCAAAAGAAGACGTCTGATTACAGTATATGTACTACATGAGATAGAGGTTCACTGAGATGGGAAAGTGGAACTCAATAACTGAAAAGAAAGGGTAACTTTCCAAACAGCTTGTGCAAAATGATCTCAGTGAGTAAATATATATATATATATGCATATTTATGCACAGAAGAAATAGGGTGGAACAGGCACTAAAATATAGTAGAGTAGTGACACAGATACTAAGAATGTAATCATTTCAATTTTTGTACTACTGCTCACCAGATTTCAATTTTATATATTCATTAAGCTTTATGTAGATTTGTTTAGTAAATTTCATATATTTATTAAAATATATAGCATACCTGAAAGCTCTACTCAGATGCTACTGAGGTAGCACAAATTGAACATGATCAATTACCTTAATAGGAACACATCCAAAACAGTTTTCCTAGAGTGTTCCTCACCCCAGTGAAAGCCGAGTTGTTTGTCTGAAATTCTATTATCATCTTCCCACATTGTCACATGTACCCAATCACCAAGTCTTGTGGATTGCTGTTCAAAACTTGCAAATTCTCCTATCACATGTCCCACTCCCTACACTGTCACCACAATTTCTTGCCTTAGCTTAACCACTTGTCTCACAATCTGACCCTTCCCTGTTTAGTATCTCTCCCTCTCCCCACCCAAGGTTTCCATTTTCCTCACAATTAAGTGCTTTGGTGTGCCTCATAAGGCCTCAACCAAAACCCCCTAAGGGGTATCTCTGATATGTGGTCCATATTTTGGTACCTAAGACTGATTTATGCAGGAACTATCTCACTATAAATCATATTTTGCATTAACATTTTGAAGACTCACAGAAAGTGTTTGAGAAAAAGCAAAGGAGCCATTCTTATAGTTATTAGATAATTCAATGTGGGTTTGATTTGCATTTCTCTAGTGATAAGTGATGAAAAACATTGTTTCATGTCTCTTGGCCATCTGTACATCTTCTTTGGACAAGTGCCTATTTAGATTCTCTATCCGTTTTTGATCAATTTGCTTTTTTGTTGCTGAGGTGTATGAGTTGTTTATATATTTTTACATATTACCCCCTTGTGTGACACATGGCTTGCAAATATCTTCTCCCCCTCAGTAGGTTGCCTTTTTGTTTAAGGATGATCTATTTTTTGTGCAGAAGCTTTAAAGTTTGATGTATCCCATTGCTTATTTTTGTGTTTGTTTTCCTTGCTACTGGAGTCAAGTCCCCAAACACGTCATTGACTAACATCAGTGAGCTTACAACCTATTCTTTCTTTTATGTATTTCATGGTTTGGGGTCTTACCTTCAGGTCTTTAATCAATTTTGAATTAATTTATGTGCATGTACAGTATAAGATAGTGGTCTAGTTTGAATGTAGCTATCTCCTTTTCCCATTACCATTTATTAAAGAGATTTTCCATTCTCTATTATATTTTATATTGGGGAAAAGGGAACCCTTGAGCATAGTTAGTGGGGATGTAAACTGGTTCATCCATTATAGGAAAAGGTATGTATATTTCCCCAAAATTTTAGAATGTAAATACACGATGATACTGCCATTTCATTTCTGGGTATTCACCCAAAGAATACAAAAAATCTATCTTGAAGATATATATATAAAACCCTATCTTCACTGCAGCACTATTTTCAAGTTATGGAGACAAAGTAAGGGGCCACTGATGAATTAATGGATAAAGAAGATGTAGTATATATGCATAATAGAACACTACTCAGCTATTAAAAAGATGATGAAATTTTGCATTTGGACAACATGGATGGACCTAGAGGGTATAGTAAGTGAAATAAATCAGATGGAGAAAGACAAATACCATATGATTTCACTCATAAGTGGAAGAGAAACAGAGCTAACAACAACAACCAAAAAAAAAAAATAATAATTCTTAAAAGTAGAAACAAAATGGTGGTTACCGGAGGGGAAGGGGTAAGATGGTAGGTAAACTGGGTAAAGGGAATCAACTGTATGGCAGTAGACGGAAACCAGACTTTGGATGGCAATGACATATGACAAATTATAATGCTGTATACCTGAGACTTACATGATGTCTTAAACCTATGTTCCTGCAATAAAAAAAAACAAAAACAAAGGGGTGTTCCACTTAGTTTTCAACACTAAGATTTGTAGTAGAAAACAGGGAACACTTCATTCTTCTGCCCGAACTGTTCATTAAATAGTCCATAATTTCTCCATGAAAATCCAGTACCTGTGTTATAGGGCAGCCCCGATACTGAACGGGTTGCCTGGCTGTGGGTCCTCACCCGCACGCTTAAAAGGGACTTATGAATACTCCACTACAGACACACACAAAAGGTTAATCAAAGGTTTATTTACAAGGGAAAAGGAAATAAGGAAAATGTACAACTCAGGGAGAAAATAGGGAAATAAAGTCTTTAATGCGTCCTACGCGATCCGCCGACCTGGAAACCCAAAGTCACTCTCAGAGCTGGCAGGACGCTGCGAGCTGGCGGAGAGCCAAAATAGGGAACCCCTCCAAAGCCCACGTGTCTGGCTTTATATCAACCTGGCTGCTTAACCCCACCCTCAGGTCCCAGCCACCTTCCCTTTGGTGCTGATGGGATTTGGAGTTCCCAGTGTCTTTGGCTTTGGCCTGGGGTGGGGGTGGAGTCCACAAAGCCTGTATGGAATTAGCTTTAGGACATCCTTTCCCCCTAACACCTGTGTCACAAATCAAGTTGCCATATTGTATGGATATATTACTAGGTTTCTACTCTCTGCAATTAGTCTATTGTTCCAATGTTGCTCAATAATACACTGTCTTAATTAATATAGTACAGTAGTGAAATCTTTCCCCTTATCTTCTGAAACTGACTCTTCTTTGTTAAAATATTAAATTTTCACTCACATAAACTAATACTTAAATTGTACTTATTTTTTGTACCTATGGAGAGTATGCTGTATTTGCTGTACCAGTTTCTATCCTTACACAGCTCTATTCTGTTCCCAGGTCATTAACTGTACCCCAATATTAGCAGCAATACTAAAAATGTGTATTATTTGTTAGTTAAAAGGCTAGGAAACTGATAATGCGGATGAAAAATCTGTTATCACAGTAAGGAGAAAATCATCTCTAGCATGTGGTCTGATCAATGTCAGGGTTGTTTAATTTTTTCTAATTATACAAAGGAAAATCCATTTTGGCATATTTCTGTGACAAACATTATGAAATATTTATACATAATGTGTATTAGTCTTGTTTGACTAATCATCAGCATATCAGGACATGAAAATACCTAAGCTAGAATTCACATATTTATAAAACATGGCACTAAATAATCTTAAAAAACATCACCTTGTGTTCACTTTGGCAGCACATATACTAAAACTAGAACAATACAGAGAAGATTAATATGGAAAAAGCAAAGGAGCCATTCTTATAGTTGACACACAAATTCATGAAGCATTCCATGTTGTTGTATATACACAATGGAATACTACTGAGCTATAAAAAATGAAATCTTGTCATTTGTGACAACATGTATGGAGCTGGAGGAGACTGTGTTAATGAAATAAGTCAGAAGAAGACAGACAAAAACCAAATGATTTCACTCACATGGAATATAATGAAATAAAATAAAGGAACAGACAAAAGTAGACCAAAACAAATTCTAGAAATCTGACTGCAGAACTGAGGTTATGAGAAGGGGGAGCAAAGGAGGACAAGAGCCCTAATGGACTGTGTTAGAGGATCATGAGTGCTTGGTGGTGAGCATGGTATGGTAATGTACATCTGAAGAGGTATGAACCCTATATCCCCAAGTCATATTCAGTGTTGTAAATAAATGTTATTGCAATAAAAAAAATACAATTAAAAAAATTCAAATCACCTTAAACTGGGCCTTAATTACAAAAAAGAGGAGACTTTGGGTATACAGGGGATATGGGGGAAAGAGTGATAGGGTAAGCTTACCTGGAAGTGAGGCTCCTTGAGGATACCAACCAATTCTGCTACATTTTCATCCACATTCATTAGAGGAGTGATATCTTCAAGAATTTCATTGACTAATTCCAAGTTATTGTCACTAACAGCTTCTAATTTTGAATCTTCTAGTCGCTCATGAGCCTGAAAATTATATTAATAAATATTAACATTTATTGTGTGGTATTGTTTCTTTTTCATAAAGAAAGTCTAAGGTACCATTCATTGAAACCAAATTTTATTTTAATCAAAGGAAACATACTGATTTTATAATAAATATATCATACAATATAATAAATTGGCCCCTTCCTAGCCTAAAAATCATGTAAAACTCATTTTTATAACAAAGCTATTAAAAAACTAAATAGGACATTACAATTAAAAAACATTATATTCACTACCCAATAGAATTTCCTAGTGACTTTCTAGTATAGGCTCAAACTCTAGATGATATTTAAATGCATTGTTAAAATAATTGATCAAAAAATCATTTCATAATATGTTAGTCAACCTATTATGCTGTACCTTAAACTTAAATAGTGCTGTGTGTCAATTCTATCTGAAAACTGATAAGTAAAATGAAAATAGAAACCCAATCATTATATTCATTATCATTAAAAATATAACAAATATCACTTTGGGAATTTCAGAAACCAAAAGTTACTATTTTCAAATTTGGAAAAATCAGCACAAATGGTCAATTCAGAGAAAGTAGTCCTTGAACTGGGCTGTAAATAAACATGCTCTCCTCATGTTTCTATATCTTAAGAGGTTTTGTTTATTCAGATCTCACAATTTCTCATGGAAAAGGTACCATGCATCAGTCACACTGTCACAGAAAATAAGTGCCCTTAATTATCCTTAATAGTAGGAGTAAAGTAGTTTTAAATTCAACCTGAGAATAAACTCTAAGCAGGTTCTATGTTTGGTGTTCTTTTCTTTCTTTTTGTAGCCCAGAGGTAGGGGCTGGAGGGGGAGTGAGAGGATTCACCAGAGACAGAATGGGGAGAACAGGTGGATTTACTAAGATACACTGCTAAGGGGAACAGCAGACAAGACCGGAGAGGTCTGCTGCACCATATGTGGGTTAGCTCCATGGCTGGGAATTGAAGTCAGGTCCTGACGGTGATAGTGCTGAGACTTAACTAACCCTAGGCCACCCGGGAGGCCCCTTGTTTTCTGATTAATGGTTGGTGTCTAGTTTTTGAAGACAGGTAAAATATAATTAAGATTTAATTTATAAATAAAACGATATAAGATGACTTAGTTTACACAATATTTTGAAGATTCAGTTCTGTAAGTGATTAGAAAATCCAAATTTCTTTTTTGTTTTTTAAAGATTCATTTTATTCATGCATACAAGAACCAGGATACAGGCCAGACGTGCGAGAGGGTGAGAGGATTCACCAGAGACAGAGCGGGGAACAGAACAGGCAGACTGACTGAAATACACTGCTGAGGGGAGCAGCGGGCAAGATAGGAGAGGTCTGCTGTGCCATGTGGGATTCTTGCCGGCCGGCCGGGATCAAATCTGCACTGCAGAGGCTGCGGACAGCTTCACAGGGCCGTGCTCAACCGCCTGCGTCGCCAGGGGAGGCCCAGAAAATCCAAATTTTAAGTGGCAACAGTATCAAACTTTAACTGATACCTATACTTTATTTTTTAAAAAAAGATTTATTTGTTTATGCATTCAAGAGCTGGGGCACAGGCCAGAGATGCGGGGGATGAGAGGATTCACCAGAGACAGTGGGGAACAAGACGGGCAGATTGACCGAGGTATACTGCTGAGGGGAGAAGAGGGCGAGTCAGGAGAGGTCTACTGCGCCATGTGGGTTGCTCTCTGGCCAGCTGGGGATCGAACTCATGCTGCAGAGGCTGAGGATTGCTTCATAGTGAGGTGCTGAAACCCCTTGCGCCACCAGGGAAGTCCCAATATCTATACTTTAGATGTTATTTCTACCACAGAGTGGGGTCCTTCAGAGTTTGAATATTTATTGTAATTTAAAAAAAAAATATGTTTTGTTTAATTGTAGCTTTTTCTAGGTGATTCACAAGAGTGAAATTAGTTTTTAAGTTGAAAAATAGGTTATATGTTAAGCAACATTTTAAAGAAAAAGGAAAAGTAATTTAAGTCACATAAACTGATAAAGAATACAACTGTTATAAAACAAAGATAAAAGTTAAAAGTCAGATAGATTAAAAAGATAAAGGAATTTCTATTAGACTTAGATAAGGAAAAAATTAAGGAAACATGAAATTATCATGAAAAATGAGAATGGGTAAATTTGTAATTTTCTGAAAGTATTAAAAAAACGTGACAAAGATCAACTAGTAAGGACACTCAATTTGTATCATGAAATGATGATCATCCCTGGAAAAAACTAAAATAAAGTACATAACTAACTTCTATAAAACAAACTAGAATTACTGTTTCAATACAAATATTTGCCAACAGTGAATATTTAGCATGGTTAACTTTGCAATACTCTAATGCTCTTTTGGTAGTGTAAGAAAGATTAAGATAAAAAAGGAAAGCAACTTAACATTGAGTTAAGGACTATATTCTCAGTTCAGTGTAAGAGAGAATGTGTGTCTGTATTCACACAGGCATTTTAGTCTCATCTTCACTTTACAGACAATGATGCAAAATGAAACAGTGAATTACTTGAGTTCACACTACTGGTAGTGGCAAGTCAGGTGTTACAATATAAAGGCTTGAAGTCTTAAAGCTTCTTCAACTATCACTAAACAGTCACCCTATCATCTTGCAGTTAAACGTTTCATCTAATACATGATGCAGTATTCTCAGTTAAACATGTAAGATAAGTTATGACTGCTAGTTAAATTTTTGCTTCTTACTGTGTCTGTGACTTTTCTAGTCCAGTCATGTTAATTCCATTCCACCACAACTATCCCCACAGATATTTATAGGCCTAAGATTCCAAATACTATCTATACTCTTATACCACCCTTTGCTCTAAAATGATGATTATAAAGATCACCCATATCTCCAGAAAAGAGATAATGATTGCTTTACTATTTTCAGGTACTATGTCAACATATTCCTATATATCACAATTAGGATACATTTAAAAAAAACTTTACACATTGGTGGACTTTGGTTTAAGACATTGGGACAAGTAAGGGAAAAGAAATAATGCCTTGAAAACTCTATATAATAGTTTCCTTCCTTTTCTATGTTCCTTTACTGTATAATTGCCAAACCGGGTATAAACCGGTGGGAAAGGAAAGACTAATGGTAAGAGAGAAGCAGCCAAGTAGGAGGGCACTATTATATTAAACAAAAAAAATATGAATTTTTTTTCCCATCACTCTCACAGACTGTCCTGCTGATCAGAAAGAATTTTACCATAAAACACAGAAATCTCAAAGTGGTGTGCTTTTCTAATGAAATTGCAGCTATAATTAAATGAACATGAAAAAACAATTTCAAAATAGTTGGGTTCAACAAAGACCAATTTACTTTTCCTAAGAAAGCAAGTACAGGTCCGTATTTGTTAGCACATAGCTGTGTAAGCACTAGGTATTATGAAAAAATTGGAATCTCTATTCACCAAACATAAAATTTATTTACTAACTTTCAAGAGGCAAGTACAACTTGAATTTAATTAATAAAACCAAAAATAAAAGACAAAGGAAAAACTGACAACTATCCAAAGGGACAGATGAATCATATGCTATTTGAAAAAAAAAGAGTCTTGTTTCCTTTAAAAAGTATTATTAGAAAGCTTACATAAGTCAGTAAAATACATCACACCAGCCACCAAGTGTTTGGAATAATGTATCATGATTGGCTGTGTAGATGACTTGGAAGTGATACAAGTATGGCCTAGCCTTTCTTGTATGTTCAGTTCTGAGAATCCTACTTACTGCTGAAACTTACAAAAATGAACTGCAGAGAAAATTTTTTTTTCAGAACTTCTGTTTTTTTCACCAACCATGCTAATCATGTTTGCAAACCAAAATAAATAAATAAATAAAAATTAAACGAAAGTGTGATCTATATCAAAAGTGACAAATATTATTATCTAGTAGTGTTAGCAGTACTATACCGTCAAATTCCCTATCTAAGCTATACCACGATGATAATATTCTGATGATGATGAGTGACTTCACCTTTTCTCCCCTAAAAATCAAGGACAAAAATATCACAAACTTTGTTTCTATCATCTTAGAACACTGCTAAATAAATAGTAGTAGCTCACTAAATATTTTTTGAAAATGTCACATAAATGGGAAATAAGTTCAGCTTGGTCACAAGTAAACCACATCTTTCATTCTAGAGATCTTAAAATAACAAACACCAACAGTCCACAAATAGGTACAAGAAGAATTTTAGCAGTGAGAAATGAGACAGAAAGAATAGAGACCGCAATTTCTATTTGGCTTCTGCATATATTATATAAAAATATATTTATCACGCAAAAAGAAAATTGGAGATCAATATCTCCGTGAGATATACACACAAAAATCCTCAACAACTATTAGCAAACCAAATTCAACAATATATTAAAGATTATTCACCATAATCAAGTGTGATTTATTTCAGGGATACAAGAGTAGTTTACAATATACAAATGTAGCACTGTGATACATCACAACAAAATGAAGGATTAAAATCATATGACTATATGAGTAAGTGTGAAAAAAGCACTTGGTAAGATTCAACATTGATTTATGAAAAAGGAAAATGCAGTAAGATGGGTAAGCATCATACCTAAACATAAGGCTATAGATGACAAACCACAGCTAACATCATACTCAACTGTGAAAAACTAAAGGCTTTTTTTCTAAGATTAGGAACAAGACAGGAATGCTACGCCTATCGCTATTTTTAGCATAGCATTGAAGGGACTGGCCAGACTAATTAGGCAAGTTGGGACTTCATTAAATTTTTTTTTAAAAAATGGTACATCATCTTGGTTATATAAAATTTAAAAAAAAAAAGATGAGACTGAAAAAAAAAGGTACACCAAAAGACAGTATCAAGATAAAAAAAGGCCACCAAAACAATAGGAGATATAATTAAAAATCATATATCTGACAAGGGATTAATATCCCAAACAGAGAATTCTTAACATTCAATAACTACAAAAAGCTGATTCAAAAATGTACAAAGGACTTGAACAGTTATTTCTCCAAATATGTACAATAGTCAATATGCACATGAAAAATATTCTGGAAATACAGCAAAATAAATTTCCTATACTGAAAAAGGGATGAAACAAATGGAACAGAATACCTAATACAATGATAGAAGGTACAGTTTTCACGTAATAGAAATATGAGAAGGAAAGTGAGAAAGGGAAAAATGACAGAATTTTCCAAAATCAATGATAAGACACTAAGCCACAGATCCAGGAATCTCAGAGAATACTATACATCAAAACCTAGCCATAACATATTCAAGTTGCAAAAAAACCCAATAGATCATAGGAAACACTTTCCATCTGATTTTGTAAATCTGTTATTATCCTGACAATCAAACCAGCTAACGACCATTTCAAGGAAACTATAGAGTAGTATGTCAAAAATGACTAAAATAACAATTCCAGCTGGGTGATCTGCAATTAGATTAGTTTCCACTTAGCAGCCAAAGTTTTTTCTTTTTCTTTTCTTTTTTTTTAATCTTCTGACCCTAGAATAAGTTTCTGAATAAAAAGAAGAATCTGTATTGAAAACTAACTTTTTAGAAGACAACAGACTGACTAAACTTTTAAAAAGTATTAAACATATGAAATCAAGAATATAAATGAAAAACAGGTACACAGTTTAATGTGAAAGAAGAAAATCAATACCTTATTGTTGCTGAAAAGAGATAAAGACCAGTATCTTTTTCACAGAACCTGTTACATTACTATGCGGTTATCATCTCCTTAAAATATTGTGTTAGGCCAAAACTAAGTGCATTCCATCTTTTATTAAAATAAAAGACAGCATAGAAAAGGCAAAAGTACTGTAATTTTTGTATATGGTAAGATTTTCATTCTGTGATAAGCACTGTATTGTTTGCTGACTAACCCAAAGTAAGGCATATCTCCCAAGTTCTAAAACAGTGATATCTGAAAAGACCTCTACAAACACAATTTTAAGAATAATTTAGTAATCTTATGAATAAAACAATATACCTTAGCCAGTGATTTTACAATAGGATTCTCCATAATTCCCTTGAGGAAAATTAGGTCTATTTCTTCTGCTCCTGTAGATGAAGGCAGCTCCGTAAGATTATCCAACACTTGCTGCATTGCTGTTAAGATAAAAGCAACATTAAAAAAAAACTCTTAAATTTCAAGCCATTATGGAGTAAAATGATAAAATAATGCAAATGAAAAGACTAACAACAGTTCTGAAAAATTACATTTTAAACAACTGAATTGTTAAATAGTTTAAGTTTCAAATTGCCTTTCCCTGACAGATTTTCATGAGCACTTTGGGCTTTATCAGACAGTCTGATATATACTTACAACATCATACTTTATATTTTTCAAATTTAAAAACAACTCAAAAAATAAAAAATTCTAACAGTAAAGAGAGGAATTACAGTAATCAAAAAACTTCCCACAAGCCCAGAACCAGATGGCTTCATGGATGCATTCTATTGAAAATTAAAAAATTAAAATCAAGATACCACAAACTCTTCCGAAACAAAATGGAAGAGGAAGGAAACACTTCCCAACTCCTCTAAGACTGTGATACTAAATCCTGAAAAACAACAAATATATGAAAAGGATTATATAATGACCAACTGCAATTTATCCAGGTAAACAAGGGTGGGGTTGATCAACATATGAAAATCAATATAATACATATACTGTGTTGATAAACAAAAACCAAAACCACAGCTCAACAGACATAGAAAAAGTATTTGACAAAATCCAGTATCTTTTTATGATAAAAAACATTAAGCACACTAGACATTGAAAGGAAATAACCTCAGCCGAATGATGAGCATCTATGAAAATCCAACAACTAAGATCCTTTTAATGGTGAAAAGACTGGATGCTTTTCCATAAGACTATGAACAAAACAAGGAGGTTCACTCTTATACTCCTTAGTAACATTTGTATTAGAGATTCTAGACAGAGTAAGTAGGCAGGAAAAATAAAGGGTTTCTAGTTTGGAAAGGAATAAGTAGAACTCTTTTCTTTCTCACTCTGTCTCTCTTTTTTGCACATGACATGATATTGTACATAGAAAATCCTTAAAAATGTAAAAAAAAAATCTTCTCAAACTAGTGAGTTCAGTAAAGTTGAAAGATATAAAGTTCAAATAAACAAAAATCAATTGTATTTCTGTTACCAAAGAATAATCTGGAAATAAAATTTAAAAAAACCATTCCTTTTACAATAGTATCAAAAAGTAAGAATAAATATAACAAAAGAAGTACAAGACTTGTACACTGCAACTGTAAAACCTCATTGAAAGAAAATAAGATTTAAATAAATAGAAAAAAAGTCCATATTCATGGGTTGGAACACTTAATATATATAGTTAAGCTCGCAATGCTTCCTAAAGAGATCTGCAGATTTAAGGCAATCCTATATCTAATCTCAGTTGCCATTTTGTTGTTGCTGTTTTTGCGGAGATTGATAAAACTGATCCTTAAATTCATATGAGAAGTCCAAGGAACCCAGAATAGCCAATTAATCTTCAAAATGGACAAAGCTGTAGACCCACACTTAAACTTACTAAAACCAGCTAAAGTATTAATTATTAATTGCATAAAGATAAACATATAACTAAATGAGTTTAGAAATAAATCCATAAATTTAGAGTCAATTGATTTTTGACAAGGGTGACAAGACAATTCAATAAAGAACACTCTTTCAACAAATGGTACAGTGAAAACTGGATAGGCACAGTGAAGCAAGACACCTATATCATCTAATATCATAATTTAAAGTTTATTTGGCTTGATCATAGTTTTTATCTCCTTTTGCTGTTTCTTTTCTCTATTCCACGGTGTATGCCTCCCTTTCAATTTATCCAATTTCCAGAAGGCATCTGTGTCTAGAGTGAGATCCTGAGCTATCAGAAGGCCCTGATTAAGCTGGCCACATCAGTCAAGTATAAAGTGGGAGTTCTCAGTGACAACACCAGTTAATAGTCAGAGACCTAACCCAGTCTCTTGACCCAAAAACCATCAGGTAACATACCTCCTCTCTTTCAGTCAGAAAAGTAAACATTTTAAGTACTTCCTTGAATTGAAGAGCTTTAAGGACAATTCTAGCACACTGAGAAGGACTCGATCATGGACCTGAAGGATTCTCAGTGATGATGGAGTCAGACACACAGCAGTATGCTTGTTCAGCAGGCCCAGACTGAAGTTTGTCATTCTCTGCCCTTTTCCTATGGCAGTTTCAGAACATCAGATAAGATTTAGTTTTCTCTTGGTCATAGTTTTTTCTGGAGTTGAATTTGATGTTATTCTTAATGTCCCTGTCAAAGCTTACTTAAAAATCCTCCCGTGGTTCTCATCACAATTCACCTGCCCTGTTCCAGGCTAATTAATCCTAAAGGTGCGAACTGGGGTGAGGGGAAGTGGTATGGTCCATATCTACCCTTTAATACATGGCTGAGTAGGAATTAGTGGCAAGGTTGGATGAGGCCCTGGGTGGATTAACTAACCCTGGTGCTCCACTTAAACCATTAAGTCAAAATATTAAACATAACCCCCCTGACATGCAAGGAGCTCCCCTGGCACTTTTATTCTATACTCTGACATAAAAACAAAAAAAGAGTAAAAGGTAATATCTTCACTGCTAGCACAATTTCACTCTCCTCATTTATTGGAATGCTATGGGACAGCATGGAGGAATGATTTTCTCTAACTAGCCAATGAACTGGTCTGAATTGATATATTAGTTATCTAATAAAATGAACGATTAAAAACATAGTTCTTTATAACTAAATTATCACAAAACAGGAAAATAGAGAAAATTACAACAAAGAATGAGAGAATTAACCCTGTAAAATATTATAACATAAATCTAAAATAATCACTCAGACATGGATAATTTACAAGGTAACTAATTCTAATTAGTAAAAGCTTAATATTTGAAATAGGAAGCTTTGTAGTGGCGTTTTTGCAAGACTCCAAAGAAGCTGAAGAAAAAGGGATATATACCAATTTGCTTGGAGATTCCATGAAGAAAAAACAAAATCCCCAAAACCAGAAGGTAAATTACCTGTAAATTTCACTCCTCTTTAATTACTAAAGGATAGAGTCAATTACAAATATGAACAAACCAAGAATTACCACTTACAAAAAACTGGCAACATGAATGAGAGTCACCAAATATCAATAAACAGAAGCAATGCCCTCCAAAGAAATGATAATTAGGGTAAAAGAGAAGAGAGTTAAAAGAAAATTAACATTGGGCCTCCCCTGGTGGCACAGCAGTTGAGCGCTGGGCTGCGAAGCTGCACGCAGCCTCAGCAGTGCCGGTTCCATCCCTGGCCTCCAGGCCAGGGTCCCACATGGCACGCAGACCTCTCCTGCCTCCCGCTGCTCCCCTCAGCAGTGTACTTCCTCACTCTGCCTGTTCTGCTCTCCACTCTGGCTCTGGTGAATTTTCTCACCCTCCCGTGCTTCTGACTGTACCCAGTGCTTTCATGAATAAATAAATAAATCTTTAAAAAAAAAAAAAAGAAAACTAACATTAAATTATAATATGCAGGGAGATTAAACTGAAGAATTCTCCCATTAGAAAAAGACAATGAGAGAGGAAATTTGAGAAAATGCCCATGGATCATAAAAGACCAAAATTCACAAGGTAATGGGAAATCCTGAAATAAGAAAAAGAAATAAAAGTGAAAGTAGAAATCAATCAGATGGAAAACCCCATAGATTTCATAGTTTTGATCAGTAAGCTACTCTTTCAAAAGATCAAAATAGACAAAATAGGTGGAGCTAATCTTATTAATAAAGGAGAAGGCAAGTAACACTAGATGAGATGAGAAAATAATGGCAAGCAGAGAAGATTAAGAAGAGAATACAATGAACATATTTATTTTAAAATGTAGTCATGTAGATGATTTTCTAGAAAAAATGTCAGTATGAAAGTTTAGAAGAAAGAGGTAAAATGGAAATAGATCATAATAGAAGAAACTGAAAAGCTTTTAAAAGATTCACCCTTAAAAAAGGCATTAGGGTTTGGATTTATTTAAGAATCAATTCTATCTAACCTCCAAGAAAATGTCTCTTATGTTTTTAAGACAAAATGTAGAAAAGACTTGAAAGCTTTCTAACTCCAATGTGGCTTTCAAAATTCAATTAAAAAAAGAAAATTATATGCTAAGCTCACTTATGAAAACATGTGCATATATCTCAAACACACTGGCAAACCCAGTTAACAATTTTCAAAATAACAATTTAATATCAAGTACAATTTATCCCGGTAATGTAAAGATGGCTCAATATTAAGAAATTTGTGATGTGATTTGATATAAATAAGAAAAAAATCCCATGTCATTTCAATGCTTCAAATAAATAAAATTAAAAATCCAATCCTAATGGAAAATCTTACTTTTCTAAGGATAAAAAGAAACCAGTCATTTTAGATCAGAATCTATAGACTGTGTCATCCTTAATTAGGAGAAATATCAACTTTAACAAAAAAGTCAAAGTAGTAAGCTATGACATTAAAAATTACAAATAACTACTTACAAGTCTGAAGGAAATCAATTGAAAATAAAAGAGTGTAACTAGGTGACAAGACATAAAAGCAATATAGAAAACCAAAAGTTTTCCTAAATAACAGTAACAGCCAATTAGAAATTATCATTGGGGAAAAAGAGAGATTTCATTCCAAACAGCAACAAAATCTGTAAGTGAGGAATAAGGATAAGATTAAAATGTTCAGGGCAGATATGAGGAAATTAAAAATTATACTAAAGGGCATTTAAAATGAGTAAGTGAAGAAACCATGTTCTGTGATGGAAAGATTCAGTTCTATAAAATGCCAACTCTCTTCAAATTATTCTTTTAAAAAGGAATAAATCCTAATAGGAATCCTAACAGAATATTTTGGTAAAGTTATTTCAAAATTCTTACTTAAGAGAGAAAACATATAAAACTAAGCCAATACATTTGGAAAAAAGCATAAATGTAAACAAGGGACATGTGCTAGTGAGTGTAAAAGCACTCTAAGTCAGAGGCTCTGCAGAGGACTGTACAGCAACAGACAAACCTTCAAACCGAATAGCTAATGGTGGCATGATTTAATTTGCTAATGGTGGCATGTC